GGCTCTTACAATCTTTTTGTTCCCTCTTCCGTGATGGTCTGTCTTCAAGCCTCATGTGTACAAGCTGTGTTTTACAGTTGGGTCTGGGCACACATCATTGGTTCTCTGCATTTTTGACCAGTTGTTGATAAAGGTAAAAGTTACACTTTTCTGTGGATATAAGGTTGGCTATGGAATATCTAATATATCGTTTAAAAGATATTCTAACAAAACACCAAATGGCTGTTCTACTAGTGTATTCCTTATGTGTATTCTACTAGTGTATTCCATATACACATATATACATGCACACACACATAGTGCTTCTACTTGTTCTGATTGGCTAAATCTAAATTGGGATTTAAATTACTTATCATTGAAGAGGTTCATGCTAAATACCAATGGTTTGAATAAGCTTCTGACTGCCTCAGGTCTAGAGTTCATGAACACAAACTTTTGTGATTTTATATAATGGTTACCTTTAAATATGTTTGGGCATCAAAGCTGTCATGAAGTTTGAATGAAATTACCAAAAAGTAATTTGAGGACTGATATTTCTACTTTCATAAAAACTTAGACTGGGTGTAATGAAAAACAGTAATTAAATCATAACAGAATTGCTAATTTTATAGTTGTATGTGTATAATTATAAAATAGTTTGTATTTTACAGATTGTACGATTAATTATACTTAACATCGTATAGTCTCATCTTATCCTGTTGACTAGAAACTAAGTTCTATAAAGTACTTTTTCTTACAATCAATTGTTAAATGAAATTGAGGACTTTGCTTTATAATAAAATATTGGCAATTTATTATATAGTATTTATTATATCAATACTAATGATACTATATTTATTTTATAGTATCACTAGTCTAATTTGGAAAGGGGCACCTTCCCTCTTTAGGAAACTTAAAATGTATGTCAACTACCTGGAGTGGTATTTTCACACCTTAATTTGTAGTTCCAGATTTTAATGTCTGTCTATAAAATGAATTTTATCAAACAAATGTCCCTATAAAATATCCAAATATTTTATCATCGTATAGCACCAAATGACCTTTCCTTGTGTTCTAGCTGTGGCACTTGGTGTGGAGAAGTCTTTCTTTTCCTTTTATAAATTAAAATCCCATTCTTATCATTGAATTGTAAAAGATAAACCAGTTTAAGGGATTTAGGTCTGTGAAGTTTACATTATGAAGAATGCTTTGTTTCTTGAGCTGGTGGAAAGCACAGATATAAGTATGTGTTGGAAATCATGCAGAGTTACTGAAAATCAGTAAAATTTGTATGGCCTGTCTGTTATCATAATTAATTTTGATGATGTAAGAATATGCTTTGTGTGTATTCTTGAGACGGACATGAACTTTACCTTCCATAATACTTCACTAGTACACACCTTTGTACTTTTCCTTGCACACTATGTATGTATTCAACTTGGCCAAGTATAGCTATAGCATAAGTTATTAAATGATTACTAAATTAATGAGATGTGAGCTTCTTAATATAGTTTTAATATACATGCTTAATCAAGCATTCTATTTGGAACATATTTACATCTAATAACGTTGGTTGGTTTTATTGGGATCCATTGTGCTTTCACACCAGAAATTGAAACTACAAAATTTGGAATCACAAAAATATATGCCAATGCATTATTATAGTTCCTAATCACACTGAACTATTTTGATTCTATTTACATAAGTTTCACATGCCACTTAAATGGCATGTATATCTTTATGCATTGAATAAAATTTTTCCATTTTTTAATTTTTGATTTCATTTTACATTTCAACCACAGTTCTTCCTCCAACCCTTCCTCCCACACCCCTCACCTCCTCCCATTCCCTTACATCCCCCCTAGCCCACTACCAGTCCACTCCTCCTCATGGGTAAGTACCCCCCATGTGGAGTTAACACAGTCTGGCACAGTAGGTTAGGGCCAGATCCCTCTCCCAAGCATTAAGACTGAGCATTGCATCCCACCATAGAGAATGGGATCCAACAAGCTAGTTCATGCATCAGGTTTGTATTGTGGTCCTACTGCCAGGGGCCCCTCTGATAGTCTAAGCTTCATAATTGTCTCCCACATAAGAAAGGCCTAGTTTGGCTCCCTGGAGTCTCCACAGTAGGTCTAGAGTTCATGAGTTTCCAAAAGCTTGGTTTATCTGTCTCTATAGATTTCTCCTTCATTGTGCATTAAAAATGCATAATGTATGAAAATACTTGCAATAAAGTCTTTATGCTTACTATGTAAAGACAGTAATTAAAATTAGCCTATTTTCCCAAGGTGTGGAGAGCTAGCCTATGTTAAAATGTCTCACAAAATAAGCTAAGAACTATGAAATTACTTTTAACATAGCTATCTATGGATTTTGGCTGCCAACTGATATGATTTATGGTTCTGTATTAATGATAATAGTGAATTAGATAAATGATGAATTAGATGAATTCACTATTAGATAATAGTGAATTTAGAGGTGTATTGAATATACAGTCAAATGTTTGCATGTATTCTACAAGCAAATTTATTGAATTTATTATCATTTTGAAGCTCTGCAACCCAGCAATCAATGTCTTTAATCACCTACTAGTAATCAAAGAAAATACTTTTATTGAGAAGTAATTTTTTAATATTTTAGAAGCAAGTTTTATTGGGATTTTCCTAACCATCAATAACAGGGAATTACAAGAACAAATTGTAGTATTTAAAGATTCAGTGTCTCACAAACTCCATAATTATATGGGTAGAAAAAAACAACAGGTTAAAATTATTTATTATTTTTCAAAGATTTTAGAAAATGGTGCAATTTGATGCATGATCATAAAACATGTTCAGAATTCAAAGAGGTTTGATGTATTCTAAAATAAACAAATTTGCATGGTACAATTGCATCTTCATTTTCTAGTACTATTTAGTACCTATCTACAATATCATGTATCCTCAAAGATTGCCAAAATGTATGGTTATAAAATCTGTAGCAGTCAGATTGACATAAGGGGGATAAGAATTAATTGGGAATTGCTAGGCAACCTCTCTCCCCCTCTCTCTCTCCCTATCTATCTATCTATCTATCTATCTATCTATCTATCTATCTATCTATCTACTTTCTACCTACTACTTATGTTTTTAAGTATTTATATAACCTCTATTCAAGATATTTTCTGTGATAATAGAAAACCAATGACTGAAAGGTGTGTTTTCATAATTTGAGGAATGTCATTATTGAATTTTGCCCAAAACATCAGTTTTTTATTTCTTCACATTTGAGGAACACTTTGCCCAGAGATAGTCCATGTATATGAGTGTTGAGACTTATTTAGGAAAAGAGTGGTCCAAGCTAAAGCTGTGGCAATACAAGTGGAAGGGAGCAGGCAGAGATTTCTTACCCAAGTGTGGAGATTTCTTAAAGTAGCAAACACACCAAGTACTAAATTTTCCTCTGCATCCCCTGACAGAGTCTAAGCAGTTCTGTGAATTTAAATCTTCAAAGATGGGTGAGACATTAACAGCTTGTTGAGGCTTCTTACTAAGGATATGGGACTTGGGGAGAAACCCTTATTAATAGCAATAACCATTTTGTGAATAAACACTTGTGTTAGTGCTTCAATATTCATGTTATAGTTTGTTTTCTGAAAGGGATTGAAGATTAGCTACTTGAAAATAAGCATGGGAAGTTCTACAGACAGCAAATGTAAGACACAAAAGTCCTTATTTCTGAAACTCATTAATTTTTTTAATCTACTGGAGATGTTCTGTAAACGGCAATTCACAAACTTTGATATTGGACCCTCCATGCTTTCAAATACATGATTTTTGAGAGAGGTGTGAATCTAAGGTGAAGTGATATTTTAATAGAATACTTCTCGATGGTCTCATTTCTAACAGAATCTGCCATCATCATAACGAATATTTAAATGATATTTCAATATTTGTTGTGATGCTTATAACATTGTTTTCACCTCAAGGTTGTGTAGAAGCAAGCTGTAGCAAATACTGAATTGGTAAGCTGTGCAATGTATGACTTTAGACTTCATACAACTTAGAAATTATTATGTATTATCCCATATCTCTCATACCCGACAACAACGAAAAGTGTTTTTATTGCTAAGATGAAATTATAACCCAAATGTGTTTTTCAGTTAACTAGTAGTAGCTGTGTATCTCTCAATATTTTATTCTCTTTGGAGATCCATGGAGAGACTATTTTGGTTGAGTTAACCTGGTATATAAAATACATGAAGGACATTTGTTTTTTACTTCTCTCTTAAAAAGATGTTTTCGCAGGTTTTTTTTTTATTTCATACAAATACTGACAACATTGCTCTTCCCTTTAAATTTTTCTTTTTTCTGAATTTCTTTCTTTGATACTGTAGTCAATGTGAAGATTAAAGTAAATCTTTTCATTTAAAAAATACAATAAATATTAAAATAGAGTCATGGGTTCAGTGCTAGAGTTTTGTAAGTTGGAAACAATGTCATTTGCATGCAGCCTTTTGCTAAGTTATTCTTGGTAGTTTATTTATCGTGAAGTATTAGGTATGTGTGTCATATTATCAGTTAACGAAGGATGATATAGAATACCACACGACTTTAAAAAATAGCATGTAGTACAGGTGAGTCCTGGAGAGCCTAAATTTTAATATTTCTCGGCTAGTGGATAAATGTTTTGCCACAAGGTGGCAGGCTGTTGCCAGCTATAGAGTTTTGTGAGTACAGGGCAGGCAGGGAGGGAAAGCCCTGTGGCTTCCACTATTTTGTGTCAATGTTTCTAGTATGGTGGGTGACACTAAAAGATAGCTCTGGATTGCAAGAAGCACAGCTGTTTCACTCGTTCACTCATTTCTGTGACTCAAGCCTTAACATTTACATGTCAATTGTGTATTAATCTGGAATGTCAACACTCAAGATTGTAGGAGCCTAAACACTTACTTCATGGGCTTGAAGATGTAACAGTGAAATTGACGTTGGAATGCTGAAATGTTCCACCTAAACCACTTTTCCTTTCCCACTGCACAGGTGATTTGGATTATTACTGGTTGGATCCTGCGACGTGGCACAGCCGGGAAACGTCTCCTATTAGTTCGGTAAGCTTTCTCAAAGCATATACAGTTCAAGATTCAGATGTGGTATTCATTGTCTCCCGTTATGTGATCAATAATCGTCTTTTTGGATCTCATGCACATTTTATTACAGTCATTATTAATTTAATTTGAAAGGATCACTTTAAAGAAAAAGGGTTATCTTTGAATAATATCAGAGCTTTGCCAGCATCTGCCCCCCAAGTGCTGGGACTAAAGGTGTGCACCATCGTTGCCCACCATCGGCATCACGAAATTATTTTTAAATGAAGAGAACTTTAAAAAAATGTTCCTCAAGAAGTCAGACAGTGTTTAATGTATCCACACTGAAAATGACTTTTCTCAGTAATAATAAAACACTGCGGTATACTTACAGTAAATAGACTATATTTAAATGTTAAAATCAGATCATTGTGGGATCAAAGCCAGATAACACTGCTGCTTACACTCTTTATTTTATTAAAGATGAGCTATTAATTTTGTTGTTTAAAAGAAACAGAGTGGAATTATTGACTGTGCCAGACAGGCAAGTCCACTCCTATAATAATGGTTAACTGATATGATGACACCTAGTTTAAATCTAAGGTCATACATTAATGTTTACTCCACAGTTGAAATTCTCTGCTCAGTTTTCCTTTTCATGGATTTTGTAACATTTCTTCAGAGATAATGCTTATGCAAATGAGAAGTGAGAAGAAAGCCCCGGGTTGAGATTCTGCATTAGCCTGGGTGACATGACTTCTCTTCTGTAGTTACAGAAGCAATGTCACTGAGGTGATGAATTAGTTTAGCCTCTTCTCATTTGAATATTTTTTATAGAGCATTGAGCATTGTTGGAAAGAGTTTCATTTACTCAGTTCACACACACACACACACACACACACACACACACACACACACACACACACATACACATGTACCCAATACACAGATATGCACATAAACCCACCCAGAGATTTAACAAACACAGAAAAATAACCATACACAACATACAAATATATACACACAAACACATGATTAATACCTATTGCACTGGATAGGGTAGGTTTGAGCTGTTGGGCCACACAAGTGCTTAACCTAGTTTAGTTTGTCATGTTTATACTCCAGACAAATTTATTTTATTTTGAGTTTTCCTTTCTGTTGTGTAGAATAATAGTTTTCTGTGACATTTTCATTCTTGCGTATATTCTTTGATTCCATTCCTATCTCTAACCGCCTCCCCTTCCTATACCCCTTTCTCTCCATTGTTCTGAACAGTTCCACATTCTACTCCCATGTCACCTTTACTGCTTTCTCTAGAGCTCTTGCATGAGAGAAAACACACCCTAAATTATTGAGTAATAATGACACCATTATGAGTGAGTAAGGCTGAGCTATTCTAGGTACTCCTTTACTTACCATACAACGAGGCTACCTCCTGCTTAATTCATTGTAAATTGAAAATACTTTTTTTTTTTTTTTTTGGTTTTTCGAGACAGGGTTTCTCTGTGGCTTTGGAGGCTATCCTGGAACTAGCTCTTGTAGACCAGGCTAGTCTCTAACTCACAGAGATCCACCTGCCTCTGCCTCCCGAGTGCTGGGATTAAAGGCGTGCACCACCAATGCCTGGCTTGAAAATACTTTTGAACAATGGGTTGCAAGATGGCTCAGTAGAAAAGCCACTAGCCAGGTAGCATGACAACCTGACTTTGATCCCCAGAACCCACACTGTTAAATGAGAGAATCAAATCCTGTAAGTTGTCATCTGACCACATGTACACCATGTCATGTGTGCTTTCTCACAGTAATGCATTAAAAGTAAAATATTCTTGCTGAAATGGGTTTCACACATCTGTTTAAGTTAATCCATCGCTTTGCAACACAGTATAATGTAGGGTGTGCTCCTTTTTTACGAATTGCATTACTGACTGGACCTGAGACTCCCTGTCACTTCCCAGCATCCTGACAGAGGAGCACATAACAGACATACAACCTGATAAAAGTTAAGATCCAGTGTGGTATCTGCTGAATGGTAATACCTTTATACAGTTGTAAAGTAAAATTAGATTGTAAGGTAAACCAATGTAATTCAAGAGCTACTCTTTATAGTATATAGTCACCAGTGTACTACCACCATTAGTAACTCAAGTGTGGTGTTGTATGTATAGTAGAGACACTATTAAAATTACATTTCAGAGCCATTTTGAGACCGTTCTTAATTGCTAACTACTTTTGGAATTATTGCAAATAAAATACAGCGCTAACTGAAAAGCCTTATAAGCCCACTAGAGTTTACCTGAAGAAAGAATTCCCAGTCTAGTGTCTTTCACTTCCCCATCACATCATGCTACAACCACTGATTATTTAGCTATAGAAAATAAAACAAGCCATTCACTTCTTAAACTTTATGTTTTAATAGCATCCTGTAACGTGGCAGCCGTCAAAAGAGGGAGACCGATTAATTGGCCGTGTTGTTCTTAACAAAAGAACAACCATGCCCAAAGAATCAGGTGCATTATTGGGTCTGAAAGTAAGTATACTGGTTCAAAATGCCTCCTATAGAGTAATGTACAGTACAGACAGCATCCACAAAGATTGCAGCAATTGTTTTTAAATATTTTCCTCTCTTTCCAAAAGTAAATTCTACCCGGTGAATATAGTTTTACTTATATGTTAAGGAGAAGAGAAGTATAGGTAGGGACATGTTTTCTAATAACTAATGTTTGCAGTAATGTTAGAAATGTAAAAATGTTGCTTTTAAACACACATTATATTCTGATCTAAATAAGAACATGTTAGATGCACAGAGATATTCCTATTTTATGGAACAGTGCATATATGTGTGCAGGCAACAATACCTTGCATTGTGTGTATCCAGACATCTGTGTTAAACCACATGATTTTTCTGGAAGTTTCCTAAATAAATACTCAAAGATTTTGGTTTAGATATTGCTGTTGTATGTGACTTCTTGAGAACTTTTGGCCATTAATTTAGAGAGTAAGTTGAGCTCATCTGTAGAGTCCTTGCCTGGCATACATGAAAGCCCTGAATTTGAAATAAAGCACAGCCTAACAAAAATTAATTCATGTACTTATTTATATTTTGTTGATTATTACTATAAATTACTCTTGCTATGAAATAATTCTGGTAGTCTGTATTAATAAGTGCATTTATACAAACTGTGGGCCGCTGTCGCCATTCAGTGATCATTTCTCCTTCCTTCTTTCTCCTCCACCCATCTTTAATTGTGCATATTTGAGACCCTTGAATATTGTAAAATTGAGCCTAGAGTTTTTTTCAAATATATTGAATTTAGGTAGAATGGAATGTGTTGAATGCTTAACAATATAATTCAGGTTTGAGACCCAAATGTTCATAGCTAGGTATCGAAAATGACATTATCCAGATGTTTTATTGTAGATGTGCTGAATCTATGATACATTTACCATGTAATACTTTGTACGGTGGAGCTCACTTCCCCCAGGTGACCTTTGCTTGGGTGAATCTCTAGTCTGTATAAACTCAGGTCTACTGTGTTCTACTACATTGTAGAAAGGGCAACATGACTTGATATGGACAGTGGTGTATATCTTTATCCAAATAAGCTGATTTACAAGGTATGCATGCTATGGAAGACTGACACAGTGCAAACAGTACCAGGCACTTGCTGAATAACTATGGACAGGGAATCGTACCCCTATCTTCTAAATGTACGTTATCATGGGGCCCTTGGATTGTCAGTACAATGTGAAAAGTCAATACACAAATATCCTTACACAGCATCCCAAATACAGTGATTTTTAAAAATAATGTTTTACTACTATTTACTTCAAAAATGAACATCCCCTCACTGGATTGTAAACATATTAGAAGACAATGAACAATTAGTTCTGCTTACTAATTTATTCCCAAGTGAGACTTAGGAACTCATACATGTGTAATTATCCAGGTGGTTGGAGGAAAAATGACAGACTTAGGACGCCTTGGTGCTTTCATCACCAAAGTAAAGAAGGGTAGCCTGGCAGATGTGGTTGGACACCTAAGAGCAGGTAACTTTTCTCTTCTTCGTGTAAAGCCAATTTGTTCTCGCTGTATAAATGATGGGTTTCAGTTTGTGTTCAGTTATTTATATATGTGAGTTGTCACTAAGTTGTTATAAAGCACTAATCAGCTCTTTTCCTGATGTAAACATTCGATTTACCAATTTGATTAGGAGATAGTAAGATTAGGGATCTTTTTATTTATATAGAAGCATAGATGCAAAATATGAAAGAATGATTATTTTATAGATGACTTAAGAATATTACAACAAAAATTCAAGTACAAAGTGGATTTGCATTGTAAAAAATGCATTTCACATCATTGTCTTTTATAATGTGTCAGAGCACTAATTTAGGAGGAGTAACTGATATTTTGCATATAACCTAATCTTAATAATAATTCTATACAGATTATCTAATGAATTATAGGTTAAATTAAATGTGACATATTATGCCATTTCTATAGAATTTGGATGTTTATTTTGCTCTCTATAGCTTAAGTGACACATTAAAAAAATCACTGAGTGTACTATAAATTCAGTAGCAACAGTAGGTGAAATCATAGTAACATTTTTAGTTGATTTCACTGTAGAGAATGGAATGGATAACTATGCCAATAAAGGTGATTGTTGGCACAAGAATAAATCTAAAAAAAATGATTATAGGAATTCCATGTTAGTTAAAGCTACTCAGTAGCTACTCAGTTCTTTGCAGATAAGAACAGTGTAACAACTTTTGAATTTCATTGTGTTTTCTTAGATGATTTCCACTTCTTTAACATTCTTGGTGAGCTGAGAACCTGACAACCTAAATGTAAAAGGTTAAAGCACAGTTAAAGCAATTGTAAAGCAAACAAATATGCTTTTTGCTTTATGCAGTTGATTGTGGACACAATAAAAGTAACTTTAATTTTACTTTTTATAGATTCGATGATAGAAACAATTGGAGATATATATATGTATCTCCAATATATATACAAACTGGCTTCTCTTCTATTTTCTTATAACAGCTCTAGCTCATAAAAGTGAACCGTGACATTATTTTTGTCCTTTACTTGGAATTTGGAACCTTCCTTCCATCTTCCATGGATTCATACAGACTGAAGCCCCTTCAGGTCAATGCAACTCACTGTTGCTCAGGTTAACCATAAACACAAAACCAACACTTGTTAATATTGCAATCCATCTGTGTCCCTTGATTATTCTTTTGTCCAACTCATAGCTTTGTGGCTCTGCCCACTGTGAGCCTACAGAGCTCTCTGGCTATGCCAGTGTACCCATGTCCTGGCAAGCTTCCTGTCTGCCCGCCACAAGACTTGATCAGCACCAGCTGTCAGCCTGCTTTGATTGTTGAAATCTTTTCCATCCTTCAGTGCTCATAACTCAAATGTTACTTGATCCCTCACCTAGAGCAGTAACTAATTACTACCCTCCCAAGACCACCTGGCTCTGCTTCTGTTCCTCATTGGATGCCTATGATTGCAGGAAACACATTATTAAAGGTTTTTGTATTGGTTTCTGTATTATATTTTCACCATGAAATAAAAAGACAAGATATTGTTTTCATCTTTTATTCTCATTGACTACATCTACCTGAGGTGATTATCAATGGAGAAGCAAATGGTCTGAATGGTATTAAATACTTCCTGTATTCAGTTTTATTACACTATTAATATATTAAAGCATGCATCACTTTATTTTAATATTAAAAGTTATGTACTCAGATGATTACTGTCAATTAGGAAGAGTAATTTACAATGCATTGCTTTTGCAAAATAATGGTTGCAATCCACTGTTGGGTATTAAAGTCATTTATTTATAGTTATCATTTTGAAAAAAGTGAGAGAACAAAATGTAATAGGAATTAGCAGGGTAAGTAGTAGTTTATAAAATATTTTCCTAGTGTATGTGTGAATATGCACATCTATAGATATTATACATGTCCAATGAACTGTGTCCAATTATGTATAATTCATTGGATATAAATATATACATTTAATGAACTGTGATGTTAAACTCTGTTTCTTCCTTTGGTCAGAAACCTTTTTGAACATTGCTAACATATTGTGAAAATGTAATCTTTTTTTTCTAACTGCTTACCAGTTAAGTATATTTAATAACCTTTCTAGGTAACCTCTTAGGTCAAATTATAAAGACTTATTTAATTATTGCTAATAACTGTACTTTAATGAAACATAAACAGTACTCATGCTTTTTACTTTAAGGAAAGAAATTCTTAGGATATAAGAATAACTTTGAGATTTTTTTCCAGCTGGTATAAAAATGACTTGACCTAAAATCTAAAAACTTTGTATTTGTATCTACCATTATGTGTACAATGTTATTAATTAAACACTGATTTTAGTTAGGTCCTTAATTATTTTAGGACCTAAAATGCTAAGAACAACCCAATAAGCATGGACATGAGAAAAGTAAGCCACCTCAAAGGGTTACTAATGTTGGTATATCACACCTGAATCTACCATTATAAGCTGGGAGGTCCTGGCAGAGGACCATTTAGGGTCTATCATATTTACGAAAATAAATTCTTGTCTCCAAATCATCTATTTTAAAGCTGGAGTTAAAATAACAACCATCAATTGCTTTACTTTTTCTCCGTGGGACATCATATTTCTGTCCTTTATTGATCTCAGACTATCATACAAAGAAATCAATACTCTATTAATTCTCTATTGCCTTAAATATTTCCTATTGTTAATTTTAGTATTCACTATATGCTCTGTATAGAATGTACTTGTTACGAACATCTGGAAGGGGGTTAACTGTCATGCAACAGTTTTTACATCTGCTTGCTTTGTAACTGCCATGGCTACCTATGTTACCTTACCTATGAATATGAATTCAAATCCTTTCATGCATTTTTATTCTGTTGTGCATCGGGTAAAGACAATGGAGCCTGACTTAGAGATGGAGAATTCATGCTAGAAAATGTTTCTTGCTATTTTTACCAAAACTAAACCAAACTTCTGCTCACTTACTAAGAACCCTTCATATGCAGAGCCACCTGCATTTATTATATTACAGGGCATGCTGCTAACCATCGGTTTTAATGTTTCCAAATAGGCTGTGCTAATTTTCATCCCATAGCATGAGATTATTTTTATATTATTTCTGGTATATCTAAAATAATAAGGTCAGTTTTGTACGGGCTATTTTCAGAGATCAGTAATATTTGGGGAGGAAAACAAAAGAAAGTAAAGGTGATTAGAAGAAACAATTGGCTGACATTATATGATAAGTCATTGGCTTCTAAGAGCAAAGCCTCGAATACTAATGATTGGTATATGGTTTGCATTTCTTTGTTAAAAAAGAGAAAAGATAAGAAAAGTAAACAGAATATATAAGGTAAAAAAATACCCTTCTTTTTAAATTCAAGGGGATGAAGTTCTAGAGTGGAATGGTAAACCCCTGCCGGGAGCAACAAACGAAGAAGTTTACAACATTATTTTAGAATCAAAATCAGAACCTCAAGTTGAAATTATTGTTTCAAGGCCTATTGGGTAAGGCTAAAAACACTTACTTCTTAAGCTTAGTGAATTACATGTATTAGCAGGATTTGACAAAGAAGTGTTTACATTCATACAGTACATGTTAACATGGATAGCTTTTTTGCATCTATTATGGGCATATATAATAGACTATAAATACTTCGGAACCTTTAAAATTAGAATATGGATTTTCTTCCCTATATATTAGAAGCTCCTCAACGGACCAATATAAAAATATCAATATTTATTTTTCAATATAACCAAGTATTGTCTTTCAGTGATTAGCTACTGATTTTTTTTTTGTAATTTCTAATGTAATCAGTGGTGTTTCCTCTAAGGGAATAGCCACCCAATCCATCTTGTGACGTTCAAATTATTAATGATACTATACATCTCCTATAACTTCTTATTCTATAAAGGAGAAAGTATTTTTCCATGTACTTACAAAAGAGTGGTTTCAACTTTTGTTTAAAACCAGTGAGAGAATATTGAATATTTGGATGTTAGAATCACTATAATATATGGTATTTATAAAACTTCAATTTCAAACATGATTCAATAATCTAAGACAGTAGAATATTCCTCTGTATCTGTCTTCAGTTCCCCATAGTGTTACCTTTTCCAACAAATTCACCAAGTCCAGAGTAAAAGTACACTTACCATTCAATAAATTATAGTAGGGATTTTGACTTATGTCATTTTAATGAGCTCACTATATAAATTTATTTTTAGAAACAATGTTTATATCTATTTGCCAAGATATTACAGAGCTCTGATTTGAAACATTTATGCTTAAAAATCTGTTAACTTTAATTTTTATTGTTTCCATGAGTGTATATCAATATAAAACATATAAGAAAATAACCATCCTAATATTGATAGAATGCCAAAGTATGATCATATTTCACAGAATATTAATATATAATAAAACTCTAAACTAAATCCAAGCTTTTACTAATTTTAAGTGGTGACAAGGAATCAACATTGAAGATATTTCCAAAAATATTATATATTTCCATGTAGTCTCTTAAAATAATACCATAATCTATGCTAGTTTTATGTGATGTATGTTCTAGTGCTGAGGTACATATGAGACAAAGAGGTAAGTAAATTTGGAAAGAATCTAAAGTATAAAAATAAAATTTATACTTGAGCCTTGCACACATAGCCAGATATTTTGTAGATATGGAGTGCTTTCAGAGTACTTATTTAAAATGGTGATTTACCATGACTTAAGAGAACAACAGACAATTAAAGTAGACTGGAATAACAAAATAAAATTACTGTTGCTTTTGTACACATATTACTTTGAATTAATCATCTGCATACCCAAACCTTAGTATGGAATATGGAATTCAGAGGGGTATGACTTTGAAGATTGTGTCTGAATAAAAATAGCTGTCTTATACATTATTAGAATAATACTAGCTATATTTCAGTAATAATGCCTAATGTTAATGTTTAATCCATTGACACAATGCCTTCAGTAATCTTTGTAGTTGTAATTCATAACCATTGATTCATACAGACTAAATGCATAAGCCCCTTTCAGATATTTTGGAGGCTCTTGGCTTTTAAGCTTCTCAGCATATTTAAAACTAAGGATCACAACACTTGTGTTAACAAGAAGAACTGTATGCATGGAAATCTTACAAAAACAATTAATGCTAAATGTTGGCCCAAAACTGACTTTAGAATTTTTAAAAAAAACTTCCCCCCAATCCTCCCTCCAGTAACACATAAAATGTTTCCGGGGTACATATTCTGAATTTTTAAATGACTGTGTAAGATTTCAAATAATTTTTACAATGTAAAATGTCATCATCCTAATTTAATTTTTTTTTCATTTGCTCAGATGAGTGGGGAGAAAATTGTCATTGTTGAAATAGTTGTATGTCAGGAATTGTAATCTCAATTGCTAGTTCATGGAGATTACATAAATTGGCAATTATGTTAAAATATAAGATACATATATTTATAAAATATGTAGTATGAGGTTTTATCATTTGTAGAAAAAATTGAATATACTTAATTATAAAATTAGTTTACACAAAAAGTAATGAGGCTTCAAGAACAAAAATAGAAAACAAGAGGGTAAAAACAAGAGGGTAAGGTAAGTAATTAAAATAATTAACTGATATGCTGATAATTCTGTTGACACTAACTCCAGTCTACTTTAATATGTCACATTAATATTTGCATACTACTAATCTCCTTAAATTGCTACAAAAATATTTCTGAAAACAGATAGGCAAAATAGTTATATACAGTATAATGCCCAAACCAAGGTGGTCCAGGGTTCTTATGGGATATTAAAGTCTCAGTAGAAAATAGATTAAGGTGAAGTAATACTAAGTATTTTTTTCAGAATAATTTGTGAGCAAGGCAGGAATGGGTGCTCTCACAACTCACTTTAACCATGTAGTATAACAACCATGTATTTAGCAAACTTCAGTATAGAGATACAAATCTCTATAAAGGGCATATATTTGCATATATAAAAATGTGCCATGTATATATTACATGCACATACATGAAATATTTTGGCTTTTTTGTTGCAAGCTTGCATCATCATTAATTTCCAAAGCAATTCATCCTTTTAATTTTCTTAACTTTGCCCATGATATTCATCATTTCATTTAATTACGAACAGATATTCCCATCCGTTTCATTCAGTAAACTCTTTCAGATGTGTTTGTAAAGCATATTGCTGATTTATAAAATTTGTGTCATTTTTGATTTTCTAGAATTGAAATAAAATATTACCTTTAACATTTTTTTTTTTAGTTTCCAAAACCTGCTGTTTTGGTAGTAAAAATATTGTGGTGAACTTATCCACAATATTAGTCTGATTGTTGTCATGTTAAAGTGTTTTGCTATTAAAACAATATAAAAATTCTTTTTTATTGCAGTTTTCTTTTATGTGGTGTTTGGCATTCATGCACATAGTAGTTACTTAAATACAATCTCTCCTTCATTTCTATACCATAAAGACCGCAAAGGACTTTCATCTCACTGTAATAAAATGGGTTATGGTTATCTCAGGCAGGGTCATCTATCTAATGAGATTTTCACTGTACCTGTTTCTTTTAGTGATATCCCCCGGATCCCTGAGAGCTCCCATCCTCCCTTGGAGTCCAGTGAGTAATAGCATTTCCTTGTTATTAAAAGTAGATTAAACTAAATTAGAAAACAAGATTCATTCTTTTCCTAAGTCTTTTAATGTAAATGAATTAATATTACTGTTTGACTGTCTTCACTTATGGTCAAATTTTGCCAATATCTCAATGATAGTTCTTCACCAGGAATTTTCTTTTGCCTATCTTTTGGGGCCACATCCTTCTTTACATATACAATTGAAAGTGTTATGTTCGGTGCAGGTGTTTGGGGGAAACTGAGGCAGATTACTGGAGAGTAAAGAGTTTATTAGAGAAGTGATTAGCTCCATGCCTCACAGCATGAGAGCATCAAGGAGATTGCAGAACCCAGTACCAGAGGCAGATGGTAAGGCAGGGCCACTCCTTCATGGCAGAAATGGCAGGGGTGGCATTCTGTTCTTACAACTACCTGAGTTTGGGGAGGTCTCACACCAAGAGCTTTCAATCAGGCTCTCTGATGACTGGTCAGGAGACAAAGAAGGGAGTGAGGGGTAGTGGAAGAATGGCAGGATGTATGGAGCCAGCACCTCCTTTGATGTTAAATGGCTTCCCTGGTAAGCCTGGCACCTGAATGTCTGAGCATGCCTTAGTAGGCCTGAGCAAAGGCCTGATTCCCACATCACATTCTTACTAGTCAGAAATCTGTACACTGTACAGAAAACTTATTGTGGTCTGGGTGTTATGACACAAGTTTATCATCTCATATCTTAGAAGGCAGAGAAAGGAGATGGCAGGTTAAAGACTAGCCTGTGTTACTTGGTATGAATCTCAAGAAAACAAAACATGAATGAATAAATAAATAAATAAATAAACAAACAGTGTGAAACTTGACTGATTGATTGATAAGCTGTACAATCTCAGTAACAGGCTAGACCACTTGTTTATCAACCTGTGGGTCATGACCCCTTTGGGGGTCGAATGACCCTTTTATAGGGGTCACTTAAGACCTTCTGAAAACACAGATATTGACATTATGATTCATAACAGTAGCAAAATTGTTGTTATGAAGTAGCAATGAAAATAATTTTATGGTTGGGGATCACTTCCACTTAAAGAATTGCATTAAAGAGTTGTAGCATTAGGAAGGTTGAGAATCACTGGTTTAAACACAATAATAAATAATTGTCATACCACCACATAATAGTGTCACATATGATGTTAAAAGTTCATGAATGTAATAGAGTCAGTAATATGGGTGTGTGGCAGAGCTGTTAGTGTACAGTGGTGAAAGAATTGTCAGAGTAGTAAGTTAAGTCTCCCAGTCACACATCATATTGTGTGTAGTGATACTTATATATAATGAAATTTTGCTGATAATCTGGAAATTATTGGCATTCCATTGAAGCTCGGGCCCAATTCTCTAGGCGTTATTACAGAATTCAACTTATATGACATAAAATTAAATTGATTGAAGGAAAATTAGTGATAAGAAGGGAAGAAAAACATGACCATACTGCAGAAGGAACCAGTGGCCAAGTTATCACATAAAACCTATTCCATCATGTTCCCATACCTGTTGGAGCTGGGCCCAGATTTGGTTTGGGGTTTTCAGATGGCCAATACGAAGAGATACATGGAGCAAATTCCATAAATAATAATAGTCTGGATAAGAGTAAAAATGAACTAATTTTTTGAGTCCCATTATCATATGAAACGTGTTTTAAGGCCTAAAATGGTTAGTGGGGTCAGGCTAAAGAAACCTGAATAAAGAGAAATTACATTTTACTGCTATATTTTATGTAGTTAGAAGTCTCCTTTTCATGGCACAAAATGATGCATATGGATTCATTTAAAGCTCATTTTGGAGTGGTTGACACAAAAGACACAGCTCTCTTCTTAGCGGGACTAGGAGATCGTTTATTCTCGAGTCGATTTGAGTGAACGTGGCCTGGGAACATACATTTAGGTAACCCCACATATCATGTTCCAACATGAAGGAGGTTTCCTTTAGTTGTATAGATTTATAGAGCAAAAACAGTCATGAGTTAAGATAAGTTTGAAATCTATGGATGGGTACATCAGAGAGAGTTGGTTACAGCGAGATGGAGGAAGCTTTTCTATAGGCTTAAGATGCTATCTGATGACATTCTTAGCTTTGGGGTTGGTTGAAACTAGATTTCAAAGTTTTTTTTACCTGTTAGTTTCAGGATGTTAGATCTGTCACAGAAGTGGGCCAAGAATGGCTGTTCTAGGTGCTAAAGAGTACATGATAAGGGAATTAACCTTTGGACCTGTAACATTCCAGCCCCTATACGTCATTGCAGTTTTAATCAATCATCTAGTCTTTGTAGACACAGCTTCTGTTCTCGGACTATAGAAAAGAACGCTGTTGGTAGCGCCCCTTGGTGTAATATCCCAGTTTTTCCCAGTGTGTATCCAAGAGCTTAAAAGGGTGATTGCATTTCATAGAATCCTATTTTTCTGCATGTTACTGGGTACAGAGAAACAGCAACCTCTATTACATGAAAGTGAAGCAAATTAAGAGATTTATTTGTAACAAAATTTAAGAGATATTATCTTATTTTTTAAAAGAATGATGAACTCTAAATTTAAATGTGGCTCATAAATGATTTTCTATATCTATTTATATCAATCTGTCACTGCAGACAGTACATAGCAAATGTTCATTAGCGACAATAATCAACACAGCAGGCACCATCTTCCTTGTAACTACTTCCAGAACACTTGGTTCATTGATGTGATTTATAACAGCTGATACAGAACAATTCCCTTAAAAACATGGATAAGATCTTTCATGTTGAGACAAATGAAAACCATATCATATTATATCACTTGAAATAATTAACCAAAGAAGACAAAAAAGAACTTTCTAGAGCTGCCCCATAAAAAGTGAACTCTACATTGCTTAGTGGTAGCTATGCCTTGACACAAATTACAGGTACATTTAGCTTTTGGTTTGAACATCTATTCCTTACACTAACACTTGTTCATTTTTATTCTCATTTTAGGTTCAAGTTCCTTTGAATCTCAGAAGATGGAAAGGCCTTCCATTTCTGTTATTTCTCCAACCAGCCCTGGAGCTCTGAAAGATGCCCCACAAGTCTTGCCAGGGCAACTCTCTGTATGTACTTTTTTATACACAGTGAATGTCATTAGGATTTGTTCTTTGAATGCATTGTTAAAAATCATTTGACTTCCCTGAGTCTCCAGTGAATAGTCATTTAGCACTATCACCCACTTCACCAGTGTTTTCTATTTCTTCAGCTTTTCCTCCAGTCACTCATACTGATGTAGAAATATTTTTTGAATGTTTACAATGTGCTAAGTGCTCTAAACATTAGCTGGTAAGTGGCATTTGGAAAAATATTAGTATTTTTGGTATGTTATGTCGATGTTCCAGGGTAAGTCAGTATTCACAGATATTCATCGAAAGCCACATTCAATTTCCATAACTACTTTTATGAGCCTGTAGCTAAGAAACTTAAACTTTTAAAATTCCCATTATCTTCTTAGGACATGTTTTTGTGAAAAGACAGCACAGAGTGAACAACATACATCCTCAGGGTTCACTCTAACCTGGGGAACCCTGGAGAAATAAAATGGCCAACTGTTATGAATAGCTCATAGATTAAAAACATAAAATGAGATATTGTATTAATAACTAAGAAGAAATCTTGCTTCAGATTGTTCTATGAAGCTGAGTTTTTAGTCTTTAGTGCTATGTGGCTGTCTGTGGTCAATCTTGACACTTTTCTTTTGATTGGTAAGTCAAAAGAAACAAATTTCTACTCGGTATTATTTCCAAGTCCTCCGTATAATATAAGAAATAGTATAACCTGTTTTGCTTAGCTGCTTGGAAATTTTTTTCCATTGTTTCTTTTCTGTTTGCTTTTTTTTCTGAGACAGGTTTTCTCTGTATTGTTTTGGAGCCTGTCCTGGAACTTGCTTTGTAGACCAGGCTGGCCTGGAACTCACAGAGATCCTCCTGTCTCTGCCTCCCAAGTGCTGGGATTAAAGGTGTGTGCCAGCAATGCACAGCATACCTCTGGCTCTTCACCTACATTATTAAGGATATTAAAGCCTAGATTGGTTGTGTGTGTGTGCATGTATGTATGTATATATGTATGTATGTATAAACAGTGGCTTGGATTCATACATCTTCAAATCCCTTTTCTGTTCCTTACAGAGATGAAAAAGTCCCCTTTCATTTAGCTTGTTTTGTTATTATGACTTCTTAATACACTATCTCACATACCCACTAGGCATTTGTATTGAAATTTATGACAATCAGAAAATCAAAAGTAACTCCTAGATTCAAAGATAGAATGGAATGTGTCACCATAAGTTTAGTGACACATTCTTGCTACCAGTATGGACTCTGCCATTTGTGTTCAAATGTAATTTGAGGTCACCTTTGTTTCACCATTTGGCTCTAGCATGGAGCATTCATCTTCAGAAATGTCATTCAGCCTTCATGTTTTTTGAAGTGTCATTTAAACCTTCCCTTTGTTTCTCCTTTCTCTCATAATTGCTAGCTTATTAAAACTGAACAAAGTGTTAAGTAACAACAAAGTCTGCCTGGTGCAGAGGGGGCCTGTGGTAAATATGCTCACTGGCGGCTTCCTTTCTATCTTAATCAGCTATTAGTTCAGGGACCCATAGTACTAAAAGCACTTTCTTTTAACTTTTTTATGTTAGTTTTGAGGTTATAATATGATTACATCCCTTATCCTTTGCCTTTCCTCCTTCCTAACCCTTCCATATGCCTGGCCTTGCTCTTCAGAAAGTACTTGAAACAACCATAATATAAAGACATTGATAATCACCAACTATTGTGCTTGATATCAATAACATTATGATGACTTCAATATTCCCAGAATTAAAACATTAAGATTAGTTGTATGGACCAGGCTTTTTCTTTTGGGCCACCAATCATCAGCTTCCAAATCATGACACAGAGACTTAATATTAGGTATGAATGCTCTGGGTAGCTCTTTTAACATAAACTAACCTGTTTCTCTTCATCTACCTTTTACCTCAGAGCTTTTTTAAGATTTTTTTTTTAAATTTCATTTTACATTCCAACCAAATTTACCTTCCTTCTGTTTAACTTACTGTCACTGTTTCTTGTGTCTGTCTGTTGGTCTGCTGTCTGGCTTCTTGCCTCAGGTTTCTCCCTCTCTTTCTCCCCTCTCTTCTGTAGTTCCTCTCTTTCCTATATATTTCCTCCTATTTATTCTGTCTGCCTGCCAGCCAAACCTATCCCTGTCTGCCTACTTATTGCACATTCAGCTCTTCAGGACACTAATCAGGTGCCTTAGGCGGGCAACATAGCACAGCTTTACATCATTAAGCAAATGCAGCATAATCAAATGTAACACACCTTTACACACCTAATGTACTATACCTCAGCATAAGCAAATGTAACACACACTTGCCTACGTAAAACAATATTCCACAACAGTTGTCTTTCAGGAACCTGAAGATGTCATACTTCAGGTTTGCCCATTGTGAGTTCTATATAGAAATGCTCATTAAAGGGAAAAGTTAACTTCTTGACGGCTATGGTTTCAAATCACTGTGATACCATGATATTTCAAGTCGAAACGTCATCCTTCAAATAGAGTTCTGATGAACCATGATGCAAACATAATATCTCGTGATGTTGATCAACAGCAGCTTCTCTCTGCGTTTTTCCTAGGTGAAGCTCTGGTATGATAAAGTGGGACACCAGCTGATTGTGAATGTTCTACAAGCAACTGATCTGCCCCCTAGAGTAGATGGCCGCCCCAGGAATCCCTATGTAAAAATGTACTTTCTTCCAGATAGAAGGTAGTGAATGATTTTTGAAAAATGTCCTGAGCTCCGTATTAATTAGAAAGATTGCATTTCCTTTCTGTGGCATATAATTACTTAGGGATGTAGTAAGTAATCCTCTGTAGGGTACTAAACTGCTTTATCCCTGAAGACAATGTCTCAGACATTTCATTTGAAAATAATATGGTACTTGTAAATATGCCCATTACTAGAGACACTTCATTAAGAATGAAACTTTATGTGTACCTACAGTCAGAACCAATGCTTAATATTTGTAATTGAAATTAGTAATATTAAGTAATAACAGTATTATGCCCTGTAGAAACTGTGATTGGTATGTAAATTAAATAAATTAATTAAAAAATATATGCAAATAATTATATGTGTTAGATATAATATATGTTTGCATATATGTTTCTATATAATTATATATATGAATATATATGAGAGGATGTATTTTATGTAATGTTAGGTAAATAAAAATAATACGATTCTTAAAAAAACAAAAAAAACCCCCACTGACTGAGATATCACATGGCTGCAGTAGAGGGCAGTATGTACATGGTTTCACTTGCTCATTTTGGAAACCTTTGTTTTTCAGCGACAAAAGTAAAAGAAGGACCAAAACAGTAAAGAAAATTCTAGAACCAAAATGGAATCAAACATTTGTCTACTCACACGTGCATCGTAGAGATTTTCGGGAGCGAATGTTAGAAATTACTGTGTGGGATCAGCCAAGAGTACAAGAGGAAGAAAGTGAATTTCTTGGAGAGGTGATGTATAGAGTCAAGTTAGATGCTTGCTGTGGCTTTCCACATACCTGTGAGTCACGGGTACTTTCATGTTGTGTTTCATTTGAGAACTGCCTTTTCAGATCCTCATAGAATTGGAAACGGCACTTTTAGATGATGAGCCCCATTGGTATAAACTCCAGACACATGATGAATCTTCACTACCTCTGCCTCAGCCATCACCGTTCATGCCACGGCGGCACATTCATGGAGAGAGCTCCAGCAAAAAACTACAAAGTAGGTCAAGTTCATTTTAGTTAGCAGACACTAATTATGTTCCTGAGTTCTGCTTACTCAAAAAAAAAATGCGTATTTTCAAAATTTTATTGTCAAGCAAACTAGCAGAAAAACTTGTTCATCTCTATGAAAGACATTTAGCTGTATAGTATTTTCTGCATTCACAATAAAAGCTAGAAATCTCCCAGAGACATCGTTTACACATTGTTTAAATCATTGAGGGGCTGACTGGTGGAATGAGTTCTCTTTTTAGTAATGGGTTGCTACATATAAAGTCATAATAGCTTCATCATTTTTAGGGCATTTTAATCTTATTGATAAGAAATGTATATATTTGAGACCATGACATTACAAGTTTATTACTATTCTTATGCGAATTAGGAAAGTTGATTTTCTCGGTAATAATTTTTGAGTTATCAAGTAAATAAGTGCTCCAAAAGATGAAACTTAGATGCATTGTTTTCATAATCTTGATTCAATTTTTTTCCTTTTTGTTGAATATAATATGTCAGGAATTCCCCAATCAATAGTTTCCTCAAAATTGATATCATTAGCATCATAGCTAATAAACATTTTAACAATGGGCTTGGTGCTCTCTGAGCATCCTGAGGCGTGCCAGATGGCAGCCAAGGTATGTCTTGGAGCCTGTCCCTCAGTCTTATCCTTCACCATAGAGTGAACTGAATATACTTCATTCACTACATGCTTTCAGTTCAGCATTTAAAACAAAGAAATATATTAGTCAAATTTTATTCCGTAAGATCCCTTCAGTGTAACTTTTTATGGAGTAAATACTGAAAAATATTATTTTTTTAAACAAACGTGTTTCTCGATAAACAAGACCAGTGTTTACTTTGAATTATTCTTGTTCAACTATGTCCTTTGCATGTCATAAACCGAGTAGACACAGAGGTATCTGTTTGCCTTACTGTTGTGCAGGATCTCAGCGAATCAGTGATAGTGACATCTCAGATTATGAGGTTGATGATGGTATTGGAGTAGTGCCTCCAGGTGCGTGGTGAAGAGCATGGCTCTGCTTCACTGTCTCTGCTTGATTCTGCTGCCCACTCCCAGGCTCCTTCCGGACACGGAACTGGAGGTCTTTAGTGCAGAAACATCAGTATTATGTTATTCCATGGTGACTTGAGTTTCAAATTGTTAACAATGTTTAAAATGGACTAGCCTCTCCGAATCCATCTTCCAATTTACTTGATATTAGTCAGGTTCTCCCTTAGAAGTATGCTGAAAGTAGGTTAAACAAAAGCCACTATTTCACGGTGCTCTGAGCATTAGTGGAAATGTGGATTTCATTTTGAAAGGATATTGTTAATTTTATTACATCCAATTCCATTCTCCTGTGTTTTATATTGTATTTCTATGATTTTCCTTCCCCCATTTCTCAAAATACCATAGCCTTCCATGGAATATACTGAGAAAGGTGCATGGCAGGGTTTAAAACTGCATGTGGCATGGCTGTAGCTTCTAATGCTTCTGTGGTGTGCTCACTACTTATACCTATGTGTGTATATGTTTTGAAGTAGGACAATGATCTAGAAGAGTCAACTTTAGTGTTTGTCTTCTTGTCTTTGTATAAGTTGGCGAATGTTTTGTGACATGTAAAAATTTAGATTTACACTTTTCCATCTGAGTTGTCAGGAAAAGTACTTAAAATCAAGGAACATTCACTTTCTTTGTATTAGTCCTGCTTGATTCCCTTTGTTTAACTAGTAAAAGGGAAATAAATATTCAACCAAGAATGAAGAGAGAGATTACCGAATATATAAATGTGACGAGCTAGCTGATTAGAACAATATTGGCATGTGTTCATCACTGGGGAATGCACTTAGTTCAAGGAGGGAGGTTTTAGTAAAATTGATAGAAACCACACTAGTGAGAGAGTTCATGCTTTTGGTAAGATGCATAGAACTTCACTTAGGGTAAGATGTAAATACAGAGAATTTTCTAAAATCATATGTTTGTTATGTCATTTAAAGAAGGTACTCACATATAAAAAACAGCAAATATTTTTAAACAGTGCTATGAAGTAGATCAGACTATGGATGTTAGTTTTGTATAATAATGGATAACATTTTCTATTTGTGGTTGTTATTTTTTTAAAAGACCTTAGTAATTATACACATCATTAAAAGACTCTTTCATAGAATATAAAATTGCAAAATTTAATGAAATTGAATTGCTAAAATGATTATAAATTTAAATCTGTTGTCGCATTCAAATTGATAGAAATTATTATTGCTGGTGAGAAGATAATCAAATATTTATTGGGATCGATCAGCCTTAACGTTGTTTCCAACTTATGTAAATAGAATTTGCTACTATGGGTATTTCCCCTGTTGTATTCACCTTTTTCATTTTTTAACTGAGGCAGTAGAGGATGAATGAGTAGCCAACTAAAACTTGTATTCAAGTGGTGGGCTCCTCGTTCTTTTGTCTAAGATAAACAAATAAACATGCACATCAGTTCCTGAGAAGTCAGCGTGGGAGATGACTCACTCCTCATGAGATTATTGTTGGGTACCACTTATAAAACCCTGAATTATAAATATACCTTTATCCACTGCTCCAGTGTATTATTTGATAACACATACAATCTTTATTTTAGAAAACCAGTGCTTAAACTGTTGCTTCAATTTGCATCTCCCTGTATTCAGCACTGCAAATTAAATAACCACAACCCGAGAGATAAGAATTTATGTAACCAATATGCAATAGTTTATGTTTCAGACCTCACCTTATTAGCTAATGAGAAGAGGCATCAATTTCCTAAAAACTCCAGACATCTACTTCCTTGATCCGAAATAAAGATACAGGGATACATATAATTTAGCAGATAAATGTATATTATGCATTAATATACATAATAGTTTTAAGTAGAGGAAAGATGAAGCATTGATAAAATGAGGATAATTGAATGTGAAGAGGGGGGCTTAGGTTAATGAACACAATTATGCTCCTGATACCTCAGGGTGAATATGAAATTGTTCTTGCATTTCTAACATCTTATATGAAGACAGAATGAAGTTGCTATTTGTAGATGGCCTGAGGAAGCTTAAGAGCTTCAGTCACAATGTTCTACAACCTCCAAGTCTCATAGTTTCTTACCCTTTATGTATTTAATAACTATCACAACCATAGCCATCTCAGTAATTAATCCTATGGTTATCTAAACTAGATAGTTTCAGCTGCTTAAGAAGAATAAAACCCATTTGCAAAATGCTATTATTTGAAGGGTGGCATCCTCCACTTTTGGAGCATCTCAGTAAGTTCAGAAAATGACAATAAAATCTCTAATTTATAACTGAATAAATGGAAAAAATTAAGATGAGAGTTAATTGCTTCTTCTAACTCATGACTTAGGCAGTCTGTGTGCTGTCAATAATGATTAGAATCTGGAAAACCAATTGATCAAAAATATATATTAAGCAAGATATAAATAATAATGTATACATTATGTATTTATATAACCGCTATGACTGTACCATAATTAAAATAAGGTATAATTATTAATATAGATAGTTATTAATATAAATTGATATGGAGATATAATAATATGAAGTCACATTTTAAAATTTTGCCTGTTACAGCAAACACTGTATATAGTAGCGACTTGGATTCACTGAGATTGTACATTACCTTCAGTACACTTTCTGTGTAAGTCACAGCTCCTTTATGACTCCTAAGAGAAATTTACTAAAAACACTCAATATCTATAAATCTTAGGATGATACTTGTTGTTTTCTAAACTCCTTTCTTGACCAACATCTCAGTGTCTAAGATATATAATATAAATAACTAAAGAAAAAGTATGTATCCTTAACATAATATTACTATTTGTTATAATAATAATTATAAAGACCCAATTTATATATCTTGATCATCATTGAAATCTTAAGAATTTCATACTCTTAATTCTGTGCTGATGTCCTATAGTTTTACCTAAATTTTAAATGGTGCCATTTAAAATTAAAATAATTTAAACCTTGGGTTTAATTATTGTTAAAATTGTTCCTTTTAACATATGAAATCTATTCAATACATGTTAACTTATTAATATTATCTTTTACATAGTTGAATAACAAATCTGTCTCTACACCAAACTCAGAATGATACTGTAATTTCTATTGTTTGACAGACGACTAAAAATGGAAATATACATTTCTGATTTGTTTCACTAAGGTTATAATATTTTCATTAGAGTGCTATTTCAGGCTGACCAAGGAGATGAGCTCTTTTGTCTGAATACTGTGGAATTGCTCTTTCTTAAAGATCTCTATACCTTAAATTTACTCATCCGTGTTACAGTCAGAGCAGCCTAGCTGCTGGCTAATTTTCAACTTGCTTTTGCAAGAGCTGTATGATGACATCTTATTAAGGTGTGGAAGAACTACCAAATAAAAGAGAAAACATGATTTCAGTTTTCCAACTAGTTATTGCCTTGATTCATATCATGTCATTCTTACAAAATAGTTGTAAATGAAAGTACCATGTCCTTTCACCACACTGTTTTCTATTTTCCTTGCACTAGTGAAAATTAATGACCGTCATAAAACCATAAAAAACACCACTTTTAAATTGTGAGCTGTTATTATGGATTTCAGTTTATTTTTCATCTGAATCAAATTAGAAATAACCCACATATTTTTATCCTAAGGCCATCACAATTGGTGTTTCTGTGCAGTGAGGTTAAACTGTGTTCATTTAATGATGGTTCATGAACACAATGGAGGGATAGTTTTAGATATCTGAATAGATTTGATGACTTCAAACTCTAATATTCTCTGCTTCATTGTCATCATGATCTCCATTCATACACTGTGTACCTTTGAAATTTGTATTTATTACCTGCAAAAGTAAAAAACAGTATTTGTAATAGTAGAAATCAACTTTGTTCATTAAAGTGAATGTGGGATGTTTTCATTTTCTGTTTTTCCTCCTTTTTAAAAAATTTAAATAAAAACAATCTTATTCTAAATACCTATCCCAGTTCCCTCTCCCTCCTGTCCTCCCATGCCCCCCACCACTCCCCATCCCACCCCATATCCGCTACCCAAAGATGCCATGAGAGATCATCAAAAGTCTTCACATCATCTGGGGCAGGTCCTAGGGACTCTCCCATGTATCTAGGCTGAGAGAGTATCCCCCCAATAGAAAATGGGCTCCCAAACCCAGGCTTTCAATTAAAATGGTTAGAATGCTTTTGTATTGACTATATTTGTAATGCAATTAAGTGGTTTATCCTTTAGAACGAACAGTTCAGGAGTTAGAGTGATAAGTCAATCTGTAAAGTTGGCAGCACAAGCCCAAACAGTTAGGATGGCATGCACTTGTGAATATAATGCTGAGGAATTGAAGGCAGAAGGATCCCTGGAGCTCACTGGTCAGGTAGCCAAACAGACTAGATGGTCTCCAGGGTCAGTGAGATACCTTTTCTCAGTATGAAACAGTTTCTCAGGTGAAACACAATACAGGAAGATATTTCATGAAGACCTCTACATGCACACACAACACTCTACATGCACACACACAACACACACACACACACACACACACACACACACACACACACACACACACCACAGGCACACTTGTGCACACACATATATACCACATGCAAAAGAAAAGAAAGAATAATTAAAATTAACTTTGAAGAAACATCAGTTTTCAAATCATTGACTTGTAAATTAACTATAGTTCTCTTGCTGCTTGATTTACATTGCTGAAAAGTCACTAACTCACTCATCTTTTAAATTAAAATTGTGCCTCAACCCATCCTAATGTCTGAGGCATAGACTGTCATGTTACCATTTAGTATCTTCATGGTAGCTTTGAGCCTAAATGTAACGTGTTCCTCTGCATGTTTTAGCTTACACTTTCTGTATGTATATGTAAAGCTTTGGGAAATAAGACTAATAATACTGATTGCATGGCATTTAACCTTAGAAGGTTGATGGCTGCTTTGATATAATTTCATCATTTCCCTGTTAATTTTTACCATAAAAAGTACTAACAAGGTTTTTTTTTATATATGTACTCTTGTCAGTGGGTTATAGAGCTAGTGCTAGAGAAAGTAAAGCAACAACATTAACAGTACCAGAGCAACAAAGAACGACTCATCACCGCTCACGGTCGGTGTCTCCTCATCGCGGCGATGATCAGGGAAGGCCGCGTTCACGTTTACCAAATGTGCCATTACAGAGGTAGGTTTGAAGCAGGCTTAATGTTCTTGACATCATTTTCTTTCTTATAGTTTAGTGTATTTTTGCCATTGGTCAATTAACTGCAATGAAATAATAATTTAGCCAATCAGGTTAGAGGCATTTTGCCATTTGTTAGCAGAGTCCTCACTTATCCTACAAGGCAAAATTAAAATATATTTTCTTAGTTCATTGTGTAAAATTGCCTTGGATGAGGTGTCAACACCTTTATTCCCAGGCCATATGTTGGCCAGTTACAGTCAATTCTTTCCCTTTTAGTCTGTTAATTGTTTGGGGAAAACTATATACATTGTCACATGAATTTTTGTGGAACATTTCAGGAGCTTAGATGAAATTCATCCAACAAGAAGGTCACGCTCTCCAACCAGACACCATGATGCCTCCCGAAGTCCGGTCGATCACAGATCCAGACATATGGAAAGTCAGTATTCATCAGAACAAGAAAGGTACTTTTCTAAAGTATAATATCCATATTATAAAGTATAATTGCAATACTGCAATCTTGCTTTGTTCTGTTTTATTATGTACATATATTGCAACATGGTATATGAAAGAGTTAAATTACATCACTCAAAACTGAACTTCTCTTCAACAGTTTTGATATTCTTACACATATGCAACTCTGAATATATGTAACTCAGTCAAGATTATATTAATTTCATATTTTCAGTCATGTTTATCTAGTTGTGAATCTTCATTGACTTAGATTCTAACCTAAATTGTAGAATAAATTCTACATGAGCAATTTTGAAATATTTTTCTCTGTGGGTCACATGTATGAAATGTTGTTTCTTATAACTATAAAAATTACATTGTTTACATAATTAAAATATTTTTGATAATGATCATCTAAAAGGTTGTTTCTCCTGCAGACTCTGAAAACTCCAATAATGTTTGTTAAATACCACTTCTTTTTTAATCAAGTGTCTTCTAATGGATGTCAGTGAAATACAAGATATGGAGATAGCATGTTATATGGATGTATACATTACTACTCAGCATTTATTGATTAGTAAAATTTTGTGGAAATTTTGTTAATAGGAATCTACATAATAAACATATTTTTCTTCATGCCCACAGACATTCCTTTCAAAGTAACCACATGGATGTTCTGGATTAGCCTAAGCTTAGTGCAGGATCTGAGTTAAAGTGAATGAAACTCACCTTGTTGAATGTTATCTTCTGGTTCTTTGGAAGTAGAGGAAAGTTTGGGGTGGGGGGCAGAAAAAAGGACAGTGGTGTTGAATGACAGATGTGATGGACTCAAGAACACAAAGCCCAAGCTGAGCATCTTACGCTGCTATGGGAAGTGCTGCTGTGACCTTCAAGTGTGAATCACACTGGATACTGAGGGACAGAAATTGTCTAAGGAATAGTATTTCATATTGCTCGGTTGAATGAATGAGTGAGTCCTGCGTAGCCAACATACATCTGGGTCCCTGTGAATAGTAGCGAAGTGGCAAAAAAGCAATGGGCTACCTGGCCAAAGCAATCAATATAATTAAAATCACCTGATAACAGAAAAAAACCTATTTTAGAATAAAATCCTATTTAAGAGAAAACATAACATGATTCTACATTCTCAGTGGCTACTGATGATTAGGAAATTATGTTGTTAAGTTGCTAAAAAGGAAATAAAACCAATTATTTTCCATTAATATCTGAAAGGCCAAACTTACGCATTTTAGTTAATGAAATGACTGTACTTGGAAATGTGGTCCTATATTTTGGGTCGGGGAGAGATTATTTTTCTTACCTTTTTATGTTTTATAAAATTGTTTTGAATCACTAAGTAGTCAGTCAGCAACAGTTAAAACTTCAGCCATAATGTTTGTGCTCTATTGTTTGAATTTTTTAATGCTGTCATGTTTATTTATTTATTTATTTTGTTTAACCTTTCAAGCAAATATGCTAGTGCAGACAATCTGGTTTCTTCCCTTTCCATGTTTTCATTGGCATACCATTGGCACAACTCATGTCATCTAATGCCTCATGATTTATCTGTCTCACCCACCACCCATCCTGTCTGTGCAGTGAGCTTCTCATGCTGCCCAGAGCAAAACGAGGACGAAGTGCAGAGTGCCTACACACGACCAGGTAAATACAGGATTTTGGTAATGGTGACTGTGTGTGATGACTCGCTTTCCATTCTGCTATTCTGTCCCTCCCATGGTAATATTACTACACATAGAATTCCCCAACCATTCAAATGTTATATTAGTATTTCATATGGAGGTTATGCAAACTTTCAAAAACATTTTAATCAAAGCAGATCACTTTGACATCAGCATATTCAAAAATCCAGAGACTGGTGAGTCTCATTGGAAATCTTTCCATACACATAAAACTGAGGAACCGGTTTATCCTCACCCTCTTCACATGTGGACTTAAATACCTGTCTAGTCACACAAGTTCTGATCTTCGGTGCATGGCAGGTTTACTATTTTCATGACTGTGGTTTTGTTACTTTCACCTTTGGAGTGTTTCCTTTTGGAGTCAGCTATTGTTTATGTTCTGTTGCTCTGCCTGTTTTTATTTAAATGTTTTCAGTTCATTTAAATGGCTTAGCTTCAGGTTCCTTATTGCCCCTGCCTATACCACTTCAGAAATGCTGTCAAACAAACTTCCTCATGAGGACATAGAGCAGTACAGCACCTGTCAGAGTTAGAGGAAAGAGGACATTATACTTCTTTGCTTAAAGCATGAAGCAGTGTGTTAGGCTTGTATCTTGAATTTCAAATATGATGAAAATCACATTTAGCTATTACTGGTAGATTCTAGCAAGCTAATCATTGCTGTCAGTTTGAAGTTAAGAGAATGTTGAAGAGTCGTCAGTTAGTGAAAAGAGCACAAATTTCCCCAAGTCTAGAACAGCTCAAGAAGAGAATTGCAAAGGCCACACCTGGAACACAGAGACAGTTCAGGATTCCCCACCTCCCTGCAGGCCACGTGGTTCTGATCAAATACATGATCATGACTGGGCTAACAAGAATTATTTAAAATTTACACATCTAAAATATACAGCTGCTAATTTCTATTGAGTTCATTTTGTAGGGCCACATGAAAAATGAGGAAATGTTAGTTCTTTGTATCAACTGATGGGAAAGTGGAAAATTATAAATGTTTTTAAATTACCTTAAATTATTATGCTAAACTCTTCAAGCTTGTTAGCTGTGCATCCAAGCAAAGGATTCTAAATAACATTTTTTTTACAAGTTCTTAAGTTTCCTCCTATCTCTTTCTATATGACTGCCACTATTAATAAAGGAAAAGAGATGCATACATACTTTTCTATTTACCTAATTTGTGCCTGGGATACACACTAGTAGTCTAAATAAAAGAGGCATCTCTTTATTTCTTTATCCTGTACATTTCAAGGTGAAGTATCAGGGCTTTCAAAAATATGCCCTGCCTCATTGCATCATTTGATATAGTCTCATCCTTAATACAAATGTTTCACAAATTATTTCAAACTCCATATATCTTATATTTTAATCGGATCAACATACTGATTTTGCACCCCTGGATAAATGTTAATCTGAGACTGATCAAGCCCATTGACTGATACCTCCACAGTTGTGAGAATGCTAGCATTTCCAGGCAAATGTACAGATGCTCAGCAAGTGTTACAGTGACTTCTCTGGCATCTTGTTATTTTTATAATGGTAGTGTTGGTCCTAGGAAATCTGCCAACTGCATTTTTTATTGCAGCTGTGTTGTAATACCTATTTTTAATCTAGAATTTCCAAAATTTTCCCTTTCATCTACTTCTTAGTGTTTATTTCTAAATGTCTAAGGGAAGAATAAACATGAGTTCAAATATATGACATGCAAACATATTTATTATCTTGTGTATTTTGTACTCAATGCACTTATAAAAGCATTTTATCTGTATTTGGATAAAGATATAAACATACATAAACTCATATATGGGTGGATATATACTATAGTTTTATGTCATATAAATTTTAGAAGTTTATTAAAAATACAATTTCCTATGGCCAAATTTTTAAGAAACTTTCAAAATAAAAAATACTAAATTTACTGTACTCTTATTTCACAGAATTTAGCATTTGATCCTCTGAAGTATTGCACTGAGAATAGTTTGTGAGTTAAGTAGAGATTGAAAACTGAAAATTAAATCCCTGGTGTGCATACTTTCTGAAAAAAATATTAAAATAAAACTTGTATCATATTAATCAATTTACAAAAAACTATTCCTAATAAGTTACATTCTTCATGTAAAAGTTCTCCGGTGGCATCAAATGCAGGAAATGCTCCACCTGCCTTAGCATGTCTTTGATATTTCATAAATGTTATCCATTTAATTCTCACGGTGCCCCGCTTAATTGATTGTATTTCTATTATTTAGAAATAGGCTTAGAGTCTTGACCTGAATTTTCCAGACTGCAATCAGTATGTAAAGCCAAGATGTTTATACAGTAAATTTTATGCCATTTTCCTTTTTTTCTGATTTCATGTAGACACCTATTAGAAAGTTCCTGAAAAAAATAATTAACTTTTGAAGCAATTCCCTTGAAAATTTTTGTAGAAAACTGTCATTAAAGATCCTTGACCGTGCCTAGGAGATGAAGAGAGAATGGAGTTTTAAACAGGTTGAATTCTTCAGTGTTTCAGCATTATTTTCCCTAGTTTGTGACTGAAAAAACACTCTGAAGATATTGTTAAATTGAGGCTTCAAAGGATTTCCTCTCATATGACCATTAGTGTAAACTTGATTATGCCAGGAGATTGTTAAATACTTAGTGACTTTGGTAAATACGTCTTTCCTTTTTGTCCTTAGCAACCAAGACTGGAGAATATTACTAAATTATATTTTAAAAACCTATTAACTGGATCTACCTTGCCCTTGTAGGACAGTGTAGCTACCTGGCATGTTTTGTACAAACTCAGGCAAATTTGGGCCTTGCTTCTGCCACTTAATGCCAGTCAGTTCCCTTCATTAGTGTTTCCTGCTAATGCTGGTTAAATCTTTAGTCTTATTTTAATTCCAAAATAAGATCAAGTAGTGAATATGCAGTTTTAACACTTAGTTGTTCTGTTTCACACAAGAAATATAATATATATTCACCCATGGTATGGGATTGCTTTAATATTGGTTTGTATTTCCCCCAAATAAGATGATTAAATTATAACTTAAAGTAATATGAAATAACCCATGACTTCATATTTTATTAATTTTGATCCTTATTTAAAATAATTCTTGTGAGTTCTCTGAGAAAAATAGCAGAACCCCTTTTACCCAGCTTTATTTAAGCCTCGTACTTCCTTAATGTTGTAGTGAAATTTATTTCATAAATATTTTTGTTTGTTTCCTGCGTGTTTGTGTTGCCATGTTCCAGATATCTTGTTAGGCACTCTAATACATTACCACCCAAGATGCCTTTGTTGCAAAACAACTATCTTTGGATCAACAGGTAAGAGCCACCACAATGAGCTTTGCTTGAACTAATCCCCAACCCCAGCCAACGAAAATGGAAAGGACACAGCCTCATATGTCATTCACATTATGCTTTGAATTAATTGTTCAAGCGTCGTATTCAAGCTGTCTAAAACTGATGTGACGATAAACACCTATTCGAGAATAATTAAATGAAACACAATTCTGAAGCGAGAATTCTGCTTACTTATCATTTGCTTGTTGATCTCAGTTATGGTGACTAATTTTATTTTCTTTTATTTCGGTGACTTGGCTTTTTGAAGCACAATCCTGCCTGCACACACTAAGACCAGATCAGTGACTAGACAGGATATTCCCCTTCGTTGAAACTTGAGCGTGCTGAGACTGACTGACGAGTTACCTGTTAGCTAAGCACATCAGGAAGTGAAGTCTCCCACTTCCCTTGTCTAGTGCCGTGAACCGTAAGAGTGGGGCTTCTACGGTTATTTCTCCCATGATGTCCTTCATTTTGTTTTGGTGTGGCATCTGTCCTTGGTAATGAAGTTTTAGGCATTTTGTTTTAAATGCTTCCTGTATCCAGTTTTTTTTTTTTTCATAAGTAGGTGTGATTTAGTGTCTTATTTGGGGCTGAGATTATTTTCTTTTTTTTTTTAAATTATGCAACACAATTTAAGCATAATATTTGTTTACCTTCTAAACAAAAGTTTACACCACCATCCTGTGGCTCTCTCACACCCTTATGAACTGAATCACAGTGATTCGACATTCTGTGTAACGAGAACATTATTTTATGCTTTCCTCTCTAACGTGGTCTTCCTTTCTTTCCTTTGTCTTTCTCTTCTCCCACTGGATGTAATGCACTGGCACTAGCGAGCTGCAGCCCTCCCTTGCCAGGGCTAAGAGTGCTAGTACCAACTGCTTGAGACCAGACACTAGTTTGCATTCACCAGAACGAGAAAGGTATAAAATAAAGACTTTCTGAATTTCTTATCATCTGTATGGTGACTTTTTCTTTTCACATCACTCTGTTTTGTTTCATGTCTCATAAATTTATCCACTCACGGCCCACTTTCTTGCTGTCCACATTTCCTTCCCTCAGTATGCATCTGTGTAGGGATATGTGTATGTGGATATATGTGATGCTCACATATGCATATTTCTATGAATGTTGAAAATGGTTTGATGTAACTTGTAAATGCTTCTGGCTGCTGCTTCTCTTTTTGTTCTTGTTTCTTTGTCTTGTTTATGTGACTCAATGAGCCTTCGGTATGCTGATAAGCCTGTAGGTTAGTAAGTTATTTGAAGGGGGAATATTGATTCCTTAATTAGTTATGATGATAAATAATATCTATAGATCACACAATAATCTTTCATAAAGTCAAAAAACTATTTTGAGTTAAATGATTTATCTTTAGCACTTTTAAATTAACCCACTTTAAAGATAAATTGTGTTAAATTATATTTTGTAAAAAAAATCAAAGATTTCCTGTGACCTTCCAAAAGTAAATACATATACACATAGATCATTTCTGTTAAAGCATTTGTATGATTAATAAGTACTAATTCTGATCTAGATATATTCATTAATAATTATCATATTCTCATCTAATTGTAAGTGAAACAATTGTTCCCTTATTATAAAAACTTTCTATTCTTTTAAATTTAGTTGTAACTGACAGTCTTGGTTATAATCACTGTCCTTGTCAAGTTAGATGCCATTCAGATGAAATTTAGAAAAAACTTTTGCAAATTCTGAATAAAAACATTTGGTTGTACTAACATAGCCCTCTTATGGCACAGTTTAAGCTTTCTTATTACTAATCTTTTTAGCCTATGAGATGTTGGTTTCTTGGAATTAAACAGAAGAGCTTCAGAATATTATACTACAAAACTTTTTACATTATTAATAAGTATGGAAATTACAATAGGAAAAATGAAATATCATAGTTAGGATTTCTATTGTTGCACCTAAACACCATTACCAAAAAAGCAAGTTGGGGAGGAAATGGTTTAGTTGGCTTACACTTCCATAACACTTTTCACCATAGAAGGAAGTCAAGGCAGGAACTCAAACAGAACTGTTGCAGATGTCATGGAGGGGAGCTACCTACTGGTTTGCTGCCCCTGGCTTGCTCAGCCTGCTGTCTTATGAACTCCAGGACCACAAGCCCAGGGATGGCACCACCCACTGTGGGCTGGACCCTCCCAAATTGATCACTAAATGAGCAAAAGCCTTATAGCTGGATCTCAAGAAGATATTTCCCCAGCTAAGACTCCTTCCCCTGATAACTCTAGCTTGTGTCCAGTTGTCACACAAAACCAGCCAATGCATGAAATTAATTTGCATTGCCTTCTTTGTATTAGTTTTAGCACTTTTAATAGTAGAGTATTCCAAAACTGTAGCTGAAATAGTCTTACTATTTTGTCATATTTATTCTGCCACCTAAATAATTACAAAGATAGCATCAATAAATTTTATCAGGTTTCATATTATTATTTCACTTTTATTTACGATAAATATTAAAACAGGTGTTGAAATAATCAGGCTCTTGAAATTTTCTGACTGTAACAGTACCCTGAAATCTTCAATATTTAGATGAGTACTCCCTGATAAAAATACGCCACATGTGTGTTTTCAAATTTCTCTGTAGCCATACTAAGAAGTCAAAAAAGTCCAGCCTAGCATTTGATAGCATTATGACATGTCAGTAATAGTTGTGAGGGAGATGGTGTGTATTCCTCTTTGCATGGTAAGTCATGGATATTTTATTTTGTTTATAACACACCATATTTGGGACTTGTCACATTCTTCTGGCTGCTTTCTTGAAAAGCACAAGTCTTACATATGTGCCATTGGGACACTGAAGCTACAGAGTTTACAAATCTGTGTGTCCATTAATTTAAATCTCTCAAATAACACCATTAAACTGGGTCAGTCTATAGACATGAATGCTAATCATAATTATTGCACAGATTGTTGTGAAGTTTGAGAATATCACCCACCTTTAGGATTAGATAAATTTGAATTGATAACCTATACTCCTGTATGTTGAGTAAAAAGAAATTTTCATTAAGACATCTGGAGAGGGTAGAATCATCAGTGATTCTATTTAATGAGGTCACTCGGCTGCTAAGAAAATGAGTAAGGGTTTGTGTGTCAAGGAAACCACAAATGTTACAAGCTGTGGGTGAGTGGTGTTTTAAAGACAGAGCCCTGCTGTTCATACATGTGAGCCATTCTGAAGCAGGTGCAGCAGAATGGAAAGAGATCATCGTTCACTTTGCAGGATGCCTCTCATGTAACTTGGAGCATAGGACAAGGGAGCCATAGCAGCCTTCCAGTTCTTCTTCCCTTTTATTGATTCAAAGCCTTGCCACATAATTTCCAACACACTCCCATATACATATATGATGAAATGCCAAACACATTCTTAGAATTTAGTTTCATTTTCTGAAGATAGTACTGTTATTTCCACAGCCTTCCCAAATACTGTTTTAAAGTTGAAGAGCTAAGATTCTGACTCACTTTGCTACTGCTTACAGTTTGTTATATCAACTACCATGTCCTTAAGCACCTGCCCTAATTTTAAAACAATGTATGATTGATATTAACACAAAGGTGCAATTGTCAAACAGACCTAATACTTAACAGCAGAATTTACTAGGCTTTTGAACGCCAAGCAGTGTGCTGTCTCTCTCTTAGGTATCTCAGCCCAGGCTCATGGGTATTTTGAGTACCCAGAGTCCTGCATAGAGGAGTTTGGAAAGAGGGTCCTGTCTAGTTAGAAGCCTCTCCATTGGACATTGTCTGTCTGACGAAACCAGGTTTTATACTTCCCTGATTGGGTGGAAGTTGCCCTGATGGCTCTTAACTTTTCCTTTACTGGGTTTAATAATGAACAGGGGTCTTATACACTCAGAGACATTGGTGCTTGGAGAGATGGGAGGGTGCTTACTTTTTTCTGTAGGATATGGATTCTCTTATGACCTGACTTCTCAGTCACTACCTTACTGCAAGCATATGAAAGTGTTTTGTACTTGCAACCTGCATTTTTTAAACATCCCTCACTCCACATAATTGCTGTGTCATAGACCCCTTAATGGACTGCACTATTGCTCTGACTGTTAAACCTTATTTCACCACGTGTTATCCATTCTCTTGAATCTCCACTCCCCAAATAGCTCCTCTTAAATGGCTGGTAAACATAAGTCCCTTCTGCAAGCTTCTTTGCCTTGTTTATTCAGAAGGAAAAGTCGCCACTACATTTCTCTCCCTTTGCCTTCTCATACATCCCCTTAAATTGTATTATTTCAAAGATTCTACTCTGCTGCTATTGAAAACATACTCCCATGTGATTAGTCAGGAACAGGTTGTCTTTCCTGAGAACTGAACTCAAATTTCTAAATGACGTCTAGACACTCTGTACATTAAAATGTCCAGCTAGCCTTCTTTATTTCTTCCTTGAGTCCTATGTGTTCTTCATATTTGATGAGTCCGATATGTAGCTACCTAGGTGAAGTCGTATAGGCCTGTCATTCCAGACAGACCTTCCTTGGCTGGAGCTGATGGGTGATGAATTTTAAGTCAGCCTCAGCTACACGACCAGTTAAGGACCAGTGGGTTCTAGAAGAGGGGATTGTCTCTCAACACAAGCAAACAAAAAGAACCGCAAACCAGAGCTTCTACCTAGCCCCTTAATTTGTAAGTACTTCTCCAGTTCCTGATTCAGAACGCTGGAAAACGCTGTTGATTTCATCAAAGCAAACTACCTGAACTGAATTCTTCTTCAGTTCTGCTCTCAGTCCTTTCCATCCACATTCACTCTCCAATATGGTTTAATAGTGATCTGTATTATGTTTTCTTTTGCAACTCTCCCATTAAGATTAAAATAAACTCACTAGGGAAATGTATGGAGAGCTACAATGAGGACACCAACTAACTAAGCAACAGAGGGAAGGCTATCTTAAATGCCCTCCCCTAATAATGAGATTGATGACTAATTCATATGCCATCGTATAGCCTTCATCCAGTAGCTGGTGGAAGTAGAAGCAGACACCCACAGCTAAACCTTGAACTGAACTGAAATCCAGTTGCAGAGGAGGAGGATGGATGAGCATAGGGGTCCATACCAGGAGCATGAAACCCACAGAAATAGCTAACCTGAACAAGGGAGAGCTCTTGGTTCCCAGACTGATAGCTGGGAAACCAGCATGGGAATGATCCAGACCCCCTGAATGTGGGTGTCTGTGAGGAGACCTTAGAAATCTATGGGGCCCCTTGTAGTGGATCAGTACTTATCCCTAGCATAGGATTGGACTCTGGGAGCCCATCCCACATGCAAGTATACTCCCTGAGTCTATACACAAGGGTGTGAGCCTAGGCCCTATCCCAAAGGATATGACAGACTTTGAAGACCCCCTACAGAAGGCCTCACCCTCCCTGGGGAGCAGATAGGGTATGTGATAGGTAGGGTTCTACTTGGGGGGTAGGGGAGGAGGGGAGGGAGAGGGACTTGGGATTAATCTTCTTTCTAATTAAAATTTAAAAAAAAGAAAAATCAGGGTTAAACAACAACAACAAAGATAAAGATAAACTTTTGTTTCTGTTGTCAGTCTAAGAGTTACTTCATTCTTAAAAGTTTAGGTCAAAATTTTCTAATACTTCTTCATTTATTCCCCTCTTCCCCTCACTAATTCATTTCCTTTTCTGTTCATAGCTGTTTACCACATAATTGTATGTATTCTTCTTGGAATACTAAATCTGGCCAGATATGGTGGTGTTTGCATTAATCACAGCACTTGGGAGGCAGAGGCAGGGGGTCCATACCCTATCTGTTGAATTTGAGGCCAGCCTGGTCTACAAAATATGTTCCAAGCCAAACAGGGCTACATAGTAAGACCCTATCTCAAAAGAAATGAAGGAAGGGAGGGTTAAAGGAAAAGGAAAGAGAGAAATGAACCCAACAACAAAAACTCTATAAGTAAATCTAAATCTATATGTCATATTTCCATTAATCCACTGCTATCTTTATCTAGAAACTGTTTGAGTCCATGATGTTATAAAGCTCTATTGTTAGAAAGCACAAGATATTTGTATTATTTAATATCACCTGATAGCATTGTGTTTTCAATTTGTGTTTAATTTAAGACAATAGTCTTGACACACTCTATTCTTTCATCTCTAAATAAGGTTCCAGTTGTGAGTTAGATCCAAGGAGGTAGAAATGTGGGTGATCTAAAATTATTACCATAAATGCAATGAGTATGTTTGCGGTCTGTGGCCATAGGATTGAGTTTGCTAGTACAGAAGCCAGAAATTCACCAACTCATAAAAGCTTAAATTACAAGATGAGGTCCTATAATTCATGGCAGCTATGAAGGTTTGTTTGCTGGCATGTTTGCTCTTTGCAGCCAGCCTGGTTAGAAAAGAAGAATTCAGAAATGGTTAAATTGCTAGTAGCTGATCCTTTAACTTGGAAGATAGAAGTTACATGAATTAGGTCCAAAGAAAAGGACATTTATAAATCATCATAAAACTTACTTTTGTATTGAAAATATATGTATTAATTAAACATGAAATTTAGTTTAAATCACGCTTAGAAAAATACTTTTGGAAGGTTATGAGTAGTGAAAATTCACAATGAAAATACATACTTGATTATTCAGTTAATTCACTTGCTTTGGTTTCTATTTAAAGATATCAGAAATGATTTTGATGTGTTATTTATGGTATGAATGATTTATATCTCTATATCCTTCTACTTATAGATAATTAAGGTATTTTGTCTTGCTCTGATTAGAAATATGCACACATGGGAGTTGTGTATGCATTCAAGTATGTTTGCTAATTATACATTAAGCCACACATATTTATACTATATACTACTATAGATGGAAATTACCAATACAGAGTCAGGTAGAAATATAAGGGTATTTAATAGGGAAAAGCCTTACTTACAGAGCAACCTAGACAGCCGGCATGGTAGCGGTCTGTACAGCAAGCAGCAAAGAGAGACCAAAAGCGCAAATGCAGTCACACTATGTCACTCTGACCACGCCCTCACAAGCGTGGTCAGGCACACCTGTAGCCAGCCCCTAAGAAGGCGTGGCTACAGCTTCCCCTACATACTACTGCTAGAGAAGAAAAAAGCCATATGTTAACAATAATTTAATTCTTGTAGAAATCTATTAAGTATAATTCCTTTATATCACATTACAAAGGTCCATAATACATTATGTATTTGTTAGTCCATCCGTACATTAGGTACTCGTTGTTTGTAAAGTGGTCATTGAACCTAGGACCTTTTATACTTACTGACTCCTAGATCAATAAAGAAATAATTGGAGAAGGAGCTAAACCTGGAGGGTGCACTTGACCACAAAGTCCAAGATCTTATACTGCTTATTAATTCCGTGTTAATGTCTGCTGAAGTCTACTCTAGACTATTAGAAAATGGGAATCCTGGCCTTTTGTGTCCACAATAATAATAATATAAAATATTTGCTCAGCAAGTATATGCTTCTACATTGGTGAGTTTAGAATACCTTGTGAAATGTACTAATAATTTCTAAAACATGAAGCTAATTTAAGTAGGCTATATGAAAAAGAAAACCAAGAAGAGGTTTGTTTACTTCAATTTGATATTTGAAATATAAAATTGCTATACTATCTTATGACTTGAAACTAGAAGTTGAGACTTATTTCTTAGTACACGAGAATAGGAGAGACAAGCAGAAACAGATCTTAATTTTTTTCCTGCAAAAGTAGAAAGAAAAAATGTGCTAGTATACTTAAAACTTTCAAATATGTGACATTGAAACATTAGTTTGGGGGCTAAAATATGGGTATGAATTGACTCTGCTCTTACTGTATTCAGTAAAGTTAGTGGGAAAAGCAAGGTTTTGTGATGATTCTAAATATCAGCATATTAAGAAGGACTTTGAGAAATTGTTATGCTAAGTACTTGTTCAAAGTTGCCTCTTGAAAGTTTGCATTCACAGTTGCTCGTTCTAAATGTACACCTTTTTCCATCACAGCTTTTCACTGCATGTATCATGATTATTTTATTTTCCTTCATTTTCCCTTTACTTTTATGTTTCAATAAACACAAGGACTGGAATTCCGCCTCCAGAAGCAAGGTCACTCATAATCCTGTCAAGTTAAAATTTTTACATTGGAAGAAACTGTTAAATCTATTTTTATGTTTCCAGTTATCAACAGATGCTGCAATACAAGTATGCATAGGTAGAAATACTATAGGCATAGATGATTTTCTTGTTTCTTACAATAGATACTTTATTTGATCTGTGAAACAAAGCTAGCAAGTTGAAAGGAACATTTTTAAAAACACATAGACTGGCTATGCTGAGATTTTGCTTACACCCAAAGAGCAGAGTCTGTTAGTGCAACACCTGAAACCCCTCCTGTCTTTGAACTCTTACTTTAGGTAACATAGTATGAGAATATACACAATCATATTATGTTAGAATATATACCATCATATTACTGAGTAGATCACATTTTTTGTTAGCTCACTGAGTGCCAGTCTCTATAGAATGAGACCTTTTTCACATATGTTTTTATACTCCTTGAAATGCTCTGAGTAAAGGAATATTTGTAGGTTCATTTACAGTTGAAGAAACTTTATCAATGTAAAATAACTGGAGAAAGAACTGGATTTGACCTGGAATATGAGTGCAATTGACCACAAGGTCCAAGATTTCATATTGCTGATAAATACTATGTTACATCTTCTGAAGACTATTGTCCAGTATTTTAAACTCGGAATCCTTACTTTTAAAATCTACAGTAGCACTAGCGTTTATCATTCAATAAATACATGTGATTTAATTTTTTATCTTCTATATGTTTTCTAAAGGTTTTTATAGGTATTTCAAATTAGATATGACCCTCCAACTTTCCTCCTACCTCAAACTGACCCATGAACAAGAAGTTATGCTTTAGCGTTTAAAATATGATAGCGTTTGGTAACATATGATATGACTTCCTTTTTATAAAGCTGTACTAAATTTCAAACATTTCCATGATATCCAAGGAAGCAAAAGTAAATAAAAGAACTATATGCCAGCACTTTGCCTGGGATACTTGGAATCTATAAATGTAATCCTTGTCATCAAAAAGGGTAAATTTCCATTACTTGGAAATTCCGAGAAAGAAGGGATAGATGTCCTGAAATTTACCTTGCTCTAAAAGTTACATACAGTTTTATCCAGATAAATAGTTTTCTCACCATACAAAACATAAAGAGTTTGTGTAGCTCACTTACATTTTATATCACTCTAATCCCTGTTCCCAGTGATTCCAGTGAATTAATGTCAGAGGATTTGTCAAGCAGAGAGACTAGACAGAAAGAAACTGGAGGTTTGATGGAATTGAGTAAATTAAGATTTGTTAAGCAGGTTCAGCAAAATTAATTCAGAATGAATTCCCCATTTTTGTGAACAACAAAATGATTAAGTAATTAGAATTAACTCAATGTTTAATAAATATAACAATCACTTCCTAATTGAAGAGCAAATGGCACATAGATTTTTTTCTTCAGTTCATGACCTGTTGTTTTACGGATGCAAAGAACAATTGAATATTGCTGAGTTTGTCCAGTTCTGACGAAAGGAAGATGTCTGGGAGGCTTTCAGTATCCAGTGTCTGCAGATCTCAGCTGTACCAGTCACACATTGACAGCTTTGCTTCTTGTGTTCAAATTGTCAAATAACCCAAAAAAGGCAAGTTTAGCAGCATGAATACAGATTTTTTTCTAATTCAACTGCTACATTCATGTCTTTTCCATAGTTATAAACTCTTTCAAATTAGCCCCTAATGCTTATTTAAAAGCCAATACTCAGAGGCATGTTCTGGCTATAATATTGAGATCAGACTTAGTATATGAAACATGCAAGCCTGACCCGTTCCATTGTTTTATTTCCATTAATCATTCAAGTAGATTTTTTTGGATATAAACAACCTGAATCTCAATCACTAAAAATAAAGAAGCTTTTTTGATGTTGTTATTCATAAAATATTATAAATGCTGAAATAAAATGAAACTTTGATTAACTGGAAGACACTTTTGTAAATACAGATTAGCAAAACTTTCAATATCTCATTTCTTTTATTCCTATTTCCCACTTTAATTTGTTGGTAATTGGCCCTACAAGATAACTTGTTAAAAACATCATTGGTAGCCTTCTTATGAGTTATTTTTTCATGTCATAGTTTCTACACTGAGTGACATTTATATTCTCTTACATATAACTTGTTCCTTTGAATTAAATTTACATACTTCATCTTGTCACTTGTAATTACATGGACTGATGTCAGTATGTGTGACTCATTCAATTTACACAAACATAAGTGATTTCCTTAAACATGCATCTTTCCAAAGTTAACCACGTTCACGTTTGTTTTTGCATAGACATGGAGATAAATAGACACATTTCTGAAAATGAAACACTTAGTAGACTTGTTCCAAATTTTCCCAAACATTTCTCAACCCACTTGGAAGATTTCAGATTTCACATTCTCATATAATGATAACTTATCTAAATTTATTTGATAAATTACAGAGCAAACAATGAACATGCTGACTTTTGGGGGCATTGTTCCAGTCCTACTGTTCCATATATCCTTTTATGTTAAGAGTTACTAAATGTCCTGTTTTTCTCCTGTCTTGTTCACTGGGCACACAGGGGTAGATGGTCCCCCTCCCTAGATAGGAGGCGACCTCCTAGCCCCAGGATTCAAATCCAGCATGCATCTCCGGAGAATGACAGGTACTAGTCACATCCTCACAGACAAAGGGCTTTAGAAGCTCATAGGTCAAAGAACGAAGGAAAATGAGGGGGATGTTGATGATGACTTGCTTCCATTCAAGAGCAGAGTCAGACATGTGACTCCTCCAGTGATTCCTCACAAGTCTGAGAGAGCGCCTCAAAATATTTATGGGAACGAGGAAGGCATAGAAAATGTCGGATTTTAATCACCGTTAGGATCCAGTGAAGATATTTGTTTTGATATGTCTTAGTTTAAGAATTTTTAATTTTTAGAAACATTTATATATCACTTAGGTCTGCATAGGGATGAAAAGAAAATTTTAGGTGCATCAGAATATATTAACACTGTGCCTCAGAAAATATCACTGGTTACGTCACTTGCTAGTTTAATCTCAGTTATTTTGCTTTGCTACTGTGTATACTTGCTGAGAAGGATTTGTAAGCTTTGGGGTATATTTCAAGCATGGCATAAAGAAGGATATCTGGTTCTTGTACTTTATGTATTGTGTTTAAACTATTGTCAAGACCTAGGGTCAGTCAACTAAGAACATTGTCAAACAAAGCCTCTCTGCATTGAAAGCATTCCGTGCTGATCCATGCAGGTGTCAAGTATGTTCCTTCCATTGCCACTGTTCTGTTTTGTGATGTCTAAAATATAAACATACAAATTGGTTCAGTATTTCAGTGTTCTTCCATGAATTGTCGCAGAAGTCTTGGGGTGCGTGAGGCATTTCTCTTCCGTTGAAATTCAGTGAAACTATTCGTAATGTTTATGAGACAGATGCACTCTGAAAGGCAGCAAACAACAGAGTTAGTTTTATGAACATATTTATTCTTTTGCATTAATTATGTTTTTATGTCACTTAGTAATTGTAGCCTTATCAAAGCAGTAATGTTTGTTTTCTGTATTTGTGAACAATCAGGACATCTCCACAATTTGGTAAACAGAACATCTAAATTGCATAATTGTATCATCTAACAATGATGAGAAAGAATATAAACTGATATTTTCTAAGGGTTCCATTTTACTTTTCACATGGTGAATCCTAAAACACTAACCTCTTAATATGATTTGAATTTACATATTTAGAACTCAACATTAACCCCCATGCTGCTGTTACATTTCTAGGATTGAATTTATGAAACTAGAAGAATTAATAAAACTTCCAGTCTACATGAGAGCAAGGTCATTTTAAATAAGACTATAATATAATTCTAGAATTAAATTGAAAGTTATAGATCTGCATTGCTGCACACTCATTCAACAAATTCTGTTGCAGTGTACACTGTACTTTAATGGGTGAAGTCAGGTCAGTGATTAAGACAGCCAGGGTACAGGCTGTGAAGTAATTGAGAATTACCATTTAGAATAAAAGTCTTTGAATGTATGCCAAAGCAGAATAGTGATTTAATCTAAAGTAATAACTGAACCTTACTCAAATTATAATGACAATAAATATGCTCAAGTTGGCATTTTGTTAAGGAAAATACACAAAAGTATAGCTCAGAACCTAGCATACACAAGGTTTCACTACTTCCAGTTAACAACACGAGTTCATTATATGGATTCCCTAATTTCTGTATATGTAGGTGCAAGGTAGATGTTTGGAACAGAAATGAACTTTACAAAATTTGAACTTCGTTTTTGCTGCTCTGTAATGATGTATTTATAAATAGTCCCTACAGTTAACTATAAGAAACGGACTTAAAATAATTCAAATATTATTAATTGCTATGGAAAGTAGAAAATAGTTTATAATAAATTTTATTCAGCTATAAGAATAGTATGTGCCCATGAAAATGAGAGAGGAATTACTTTTAACTGATAATAGATTTGCATGCATTCATGTCAACCCCTTGACCAAGCTTAATGCGCACATACCACTTCACATGAATGTTACTTTATCATTTTGGGTATTCTACCAATGTAGAAACAAAATCAGTGTGACATTAGATTTAAGTAAAATGAATACTGTGGTCAGGGACATTAGTTCACCTTTAACATTGGTAGTCAAAAATACTCCTAATTCAATGATGATTTACATAGTTGGGACTAGATGTCTTGCCAGAGTCATAAAGCATTTCTTTACCACCTCCTTTCCCCCCACAGCACAAATGTGGATGCAGACACCAATGTCTGGACATATATGCATGCAACTTTTAAATGAACTATGTCTGCATAATGCAGTATCAACAAGAGGCATTCTGCCTGCCATCTCAGGTGGTACCATACACTTACTTGGATTGAGCATGGAGATGTATTTATTTAGGTCTAAATTTTCTTCTAGCTCTTGTGATATTTAAAATAAAAAAACAAACTAGTTTGGACTCTTAGGAAATATTTTTAACTTTAAAATTGTGAAGATCTCTTAGAGGTTTTATTAAGTTAGTAATTCCCAGATTTGTATTGGAATGGTTTCATATTTGTATATCTGGTACTGTGAATTACTGGAACTTGTACTGATACTTTGAAAGTACTGAGAACATTTGACAAAACTGAAAAGTCCTCAAATAATGCCACAGCGACTGGACTTGGCATCAGTTGAGTTTTTCAGCTGCAGCAGCTCCTGCCTAGTTTCTTTTTTAACTCCACACCTTTTACTTCTCTGTAAACTGACCTGAGTGATCCTATAAAGTGATTCATTCTGATTTAAAATTATCTTTCTCTATTGACTATTTTTGATGGAATCAGAAAATCCTTGCCATTTTGACTCACACATCAGTTGCTGCCTGAAGGCAGAACTAGTGTACATCTATCTACTCACCAATGAAATGTGCTGTCATTTAGTGTCTACCTACTTTCCTGTGTGTATCAAAAAGGTAACAAGATGTGTCAGACACTAAAATTTTAGTGTGTGCAATGGTTGCACAAACACACATGAAATCAGCAACCTCCAACAGGGTGAATGGAACTTAGTTTCATGGCCATTAGTAATCTTGCTTGAATTTATTATCTTTTCCCAAATTAATGAGTAAGATGGTAGAGCTAGGCATTCACTTTGAAACAACATAACCATAGACAACATAAGCATTCTGAACACAGAGATTTATTCTTATGCCATCAGTATTGTATATAATGAAAATACCCTCTGGTAGTTATATGTTATATTTTCCCTTAAACCAAGACATAGAATATTATGTCAAATTTATAACAAATATTATTAAACAATATTACCAGTTTAACAATTCTGTTGTAAACTATATGTAACATTTAATTATATATAGATATTACATGTATATAACAGTTTTGTGATGTCTTCAGAAAATCTTTATTGCTCATAATACCAGGTAATTGAATCAATTAAAATTTAAAAAGAAGAGGGAAGTATTTCCCAAATAGATGTTAATTTTTCTTATTTTGTGACTGCTAAAATTAATGTTAATAAAATAATACTTAAATGGAATTTCACAATTACAAATTTGATTAGAGCTAGGTCCAGTTTTCTAATTACAGCTTTTGCTTCAGTTCAATAATAAAATAAGCATGTACTTTACATTTGGATGTGCCTTTTTAGAGCTTTTAAATAACTTAATCTCTGCCATATGGTTATAGGGTTTTATATTTCTGAGTATTCATAAGACCAAATTAAACATTAAGCCTGAAATCCAGGAAAATTTTGCATTTTAAATATTTGTATTTTTTGATCCATGGGAATATTATGAATAATGAAATAGTGATAAAGATTACTAGAATTCTTCATAAAGCTGAAATTCATGAGAACATGATGGTTGTACCAGCTAATTAAGGCCTGTGGTACATGGGCTAAGTCTCGTGAAATTTTCTAGCATTGTTTCCATTTGCAAGTTTAACTAGTTGTAAATGGAGTATCTGAATTCTCATCTTCTGTAGACTCCAAGATTGAACCTGATCCACATGGCCCTGTTACGATAAAACATGCTACCATAACATAACTGATAATTCATCATGCATAAAGCATTAATAAATTAGAAATTATGCTTTATTTCTGGAGTTTTCTGTTTTACTCAAGCCCAGAAAACAATACAACTGAATTGTTACCTGTGTATTTGATATAAAGCAAACTGTATTTTCAGTTACTTCATTTTGCTCAGCGTAAAATTTGACTGTCAAATTCCACTAAAATATACAAATGGCATTTTATAATCTTAACTATATATAAAGGCATAAACATTGTATATATATTTTGTTTACATTTTTACATTATGCTTAAATCAAGGTTAACATATCTGTTCCCTCAAACATTATTTCTACAGTGAAGATTTTAAGTCTTTTCTAGATTTCAGATACATTGAGTGTTTATCATCTATTAAATACTTCTTGATCTATCTCTAATAATATTGATTAAACTTTCTCATTCTCCTCAACACCTATAGATACCTATTCCCATATTCTGGCCCCATATTTGTTGCTGCAATTAATCATTAAAAAATTGTCATTATAGCAACATTTCTCAAACAAAGCATTCAGCAAGTGCGAGGCACATTTTGAATGAGTAATGTTACAATGAAAACCCAACTAGACCAAGAATCTGACAGTAGAACCTTGAGGTTATTGATGTACAATGTGACCTATGTTATGATCACCTGACCAATAATTTTGATTATATACAATATGAATAACATATTCTACCTATCTTAATCCTCTATTTACATCAAAGATAGATAGGTGTGATTAAATAGGCAATATCCATAGCTATGAATATTGTGAAAGACATTAGAATTTTCTATTTCCATTAGTGTTTTTCCTTTACAGTGACTTTTGGCCATTAAAAGTACCCCATTTTGCTCTGTTTGAGGATATTCTCAAGCAGTTACAAGAATTATTCTTGTAGGTGTCATTAGAAGACTCTTTCACAAAAATTATAATGGCCTTTAAAGAGAACAAGAAACCTCCTTAGCAGAGAGGTTAAAGCAACAACAGGCAAGGACCTATGTGGACCTGTGACTGGTTGTAACATTATGTAACATTGACTGCATATTGGTTACCATTATAAATTCCTGAGAATACATGTGTTTGTTGGTAAATAAATCTTACTCTCATTTAATACTATACCTAAAGGGATTGGACAGATTAGATGACATACTAAAATCAGAAAGGCCAGATGAGTGCTAAGGGTCTTCGTAAATATCATATATCAGTCTAGCTGATATCACCATGGTAATCAATCTGCTATGTGACACCATTAAGTTGTAGGACATGAGAAGGGAATGAAGAGTTGGAGAAATTCACAGAGGAAGTACAATCTCAATTAACTCTAGAAAACTTACTACATTTTTATGAAGGACAAGGAAATTGGGCAATCTCTAGTAGGTGCCTATAACTTTTTATTTTCAACAGCAGAAAATACACAGTTTTCCCATGTCCTGCAGCTGCATCCCTGCTCTTCCCATCTTACAAATCACTTTTAAAGCCTGATGTGATGACTGCTTTTCTCACCTTGAGCAAATCCTCTCTTACGACATAACGACTTTCCACTTTTTGCTTCTTTTGCTTGGGATATGATATACGTCAGAAATATGTGTGCGCGCATGCGCACGCGCGAACACACACACACACACACACACACACACACACACACACAAAATGTCACCATCTCAGAGGTCCTTTCCTACATACAGTTAAAAATCTGTACTTTCCCCTCACCCCTAATTGCACCCCAGCTTCCAAACTTCTTCACCCATTTTTACTTCTCTGTGTTATTGATCACGTTGTCTGGTGCTGTTCTGTTTTTGACTTTCACTAGTGGCAGCATCAGTTGTTAAAGGCGGAGAGTTTTATGTAACAGATCATAGGCACGCTCCAGTCACCTAACAGTGCCTCACATGTAAAGATGCTCAACAAGTATGTTAAAGGAACAGAAGATGTGATGAACAGAAAAAAAAAGATGATGAATGAACCTATTGTTCTTCCTGAAACTCGGTTCTCATCTTTTTCTCACCTAAAGATGAGAAAAGGAATTTTTCCCTCCAGGCCATTGTCCTGATTGCTGTTGGGACCACAGACAAACTGTCCATAAGTCTTGTATTTATTTTGATCTCATGCCCTTCAACCTTTTTTACTCCACCTCTCCCTTCCCTACCCTTCACTTCATTCTGTGTTGTGGCTTCTGGAGTTTCCCTTATTTGATAAACAAGCATTAGTTCCTAGTCAACATGACCCCTAGATTCAGGCATGTGCTGTATATTCTTTAAGCATAAAATGCACACCTGTATTAGAGAAGTAAAATGATATGAATACAGCTGGCAGAAGTAGAAGAAGGTGGAGAAATGAGTAAGAAAGTGTGTGCACTTGAGAAAGAAGACCTGGTGATTTGCTGCGTATTTTTAGTGTCCAGGAGGCACTTAATGTAAGATGCCTGCAATTCTAAGTAAGAACAGATACATGACAATATTTTCTGAAGAAAGTTCTTTAGATGGTGTAATAGGCATAAATTATAAAGATTTAATAATAACACAAAAGTACATAGTCTTACAACTTTTTGAAAAGTGTTTATATTATGTGTTCAAAATGTGTAGTGTTATAACTACAAAATGTTTGACTTATTCAATTGTAGTAACTATTTAGACATATGTGTGTCTTATATTCATCTTACACATTTTATCATGTTATACACCTTAAATATATATCTGTCATAAGTTTTATATACAGATATACATTATGAATGCCTATACATCAGACTGATTTTATTCACATAATAGTTCAGACATTTAGGCTAAATAAGTATATGTAAGGTGCATTAAGATAAACACCTCTTTATCTTTCATGTTCTCTATGTATGTTGCTTTTAGGAGTAAATAACATCTTAATTTTCAGATGTTAAGTGTTATGTGTGCTTTTTGAAAGTAAGATTAGAGGCTTTATTCACTGTTTTATCAGGTGTAGCTAGCTTTTGTATTTCTCCCGACTTACCTGGGCATCTTTATTATCAATTAAAAAGCAATTCTCGTTGTTGGATTAAGTCCTTTCACTTCTGTCAACATCCTTCATGTTTTTCCTCTTCATACATTGGTGATGGAAAACAAAAATACTCCAGAACACAAAGCTTCAAAATAAATTGTCACTTACCCCTGTGTGGTCTTTCAGCACTTAATCATCACCGTTGTAACATTGTTCATCATATATTGCATCACTTGTTTTTAATTCATTGGCTGAACTTAAGTTACTGAGTAAGGGTACCCACCAAATCATTGTGATAGATGTACTTATTTAAACTAATTCGATTTCAGCTACTCCTGTCTCCTGTCAGCCACTGTGTCTCCCACCCAGCATTCATTCTCATTTCCATATTTTATCCATTTATTTTTTAATTGTGAAAGTATTGTCTGACAAAACCATTTAGGTAAGCTAAGTTGTCATTGTTCATGTCTCTTTTTTTTTCATTGTTTGATGTGACTGTAGCTTTATTCATCATCTATTTTGTATTTCTTTAACATTTCATCCCCGCAGGCACTCCAGAAAGTCTGAAAGATCTAGCATCCAAAAACAGACTAGGAAAGGCACAGCCTCCGATGCAGACAGGTAGGCTCGGTGTTGTGCTGTGCTGCTATCTTTCTATTTATGTAGACCCAGGAGTGGCCTGCCTCTCCTTTAGCTTGCCAATGTACAGACACACATTGTGATGCTTGAAGTGTCTCACCAAAATGAATCGACTACTCTATGAGAAAAGTGGCTGAAGAAATGAAATACTGTCACTGTGTGATCTGCTGTAGGTGTTAAACAAGCAAACATGGTTTTTCTTCATGATCAGTCTCATTTCCATTGAGGACTAAACGCATATGCATTCTTACATACGTGTTAGAACTTTGATATTTGTTTCTACGATGACATTAAATGTTTCTAGTGAATCAAAACTGGGAAGGTATAAATAATTTGAGTGTGTAGATAATTGAATAATATCAACTTTTTTAAGTCTTATTTTCTATAAAGGTATAATCTCAGATTCTTGGTTTTTACAACTATATTTATTTGCTGTGTTTATTTAAAAAAACAACCTGGAATTATTGACGATTTGCAGTTTTCCTAGTTTTAAAGGTGTGGTACCTTTAGATAAAACATATTGATGCTTCTTTTGAACCATCTGCAGAAATACCTAGAAAATCATAGTAATATATATAATGAATAGTTGTCCATTAGACTGGAGAATCCTTCAAAGCATGAATGGAAACACAGGTGAATGAGTGTGTTCAATATCAGATGTATCTCAGGCATCGTAAAAACAGAAGTACGAATAGGGCATTTGGAATTTGAAAATATTCAATGGACCAGCCTTGATGAACTAAATCAATAGATAGAACTTGGTGTACGTTAGAAATGGGAAAATATGAGGAAAAACATAAAACTTGAAAATAACTTATTAGTTTAAGTTCCTGTTCTTGAGTGGAGAATGGAAATCAGAGGATGGAAAATAAAAGGAAGCAAAAATTTGAACTGGAGACTTCTTGAGAATTTATGATTGATATGACCAAGACTTGTTAATGTACTAAGACTTTCGATTTATTTATGAAAGTCTTAAGCCAGGCCAGTGGATATTTGATTTTGAGTTTCAGAATTACAGATCCATTAGAAAATACTTTGGGGACTGGCTAGAGATGGCTCAGAGATTAAGAGCACTGGCTGCTCTTCCAGAGGTCCTGAGTTCAGTTCCCAGCACCCATATGGTTGCTCACAACCATCCATAATGAGATCTGGTGCCCTCTTCTGGCCTGCAAGCATACATGCAGACAGAACACTGTAAACATTATAAATAAATAAATCTTTCAATAACAAAAAGAAAGAAGGAAGGAAAGAGAGAGAGAGAGAGAGAGAGAGAGAGAGAGAGGAGTATGGTACACACCTGTCATCCCAGCACTCAGTTTGGAAGATGCATCAAAATATCCAAGAGTAGATGTTGGAAGACACTAGTGAGAAAAAGCCTGTACAGTTTACTGATTTATTCAGTCCATAAACTCATGACACTTTGAGTTCTAGCTTAAGAAATGAATAGTGATCAGTAAAAATAAAGGCATTTCCTTATTACAGAGTTGAAATCTGAAATTAGGAGGAGAAATGTCAAAGGATTGGTTAAAATGGAGAAAGGGAAATGCAGCTGGAATCTAGTGATCCACAGAGATATTGTTCCTTTAGAAGGACACATTACAACATCTAGGGAGACTCAGAAAGTGTCAATAGAAGAAACACAACAAATCAGTAATTGGTCTGTTAGGAAGAAATTGAAGTGTGGAATAATACCAGGTAGTTTCTAACAATGAATGCATGCCTTCCATCCTTCTTTCTTGGCTCAGCTGAAAATGCCAGCCTCTAACGTGTGGATTTCTTTGTTTAGGATTAAAGTACTTGGTTGATTTTTATAGGAATCTAAGTTACATAACTAACTTTTAAGCAAATGGTTGGATACTGGTCACAAGGACATTGACCTGTGTGTTCTACGTCACATTAACTGTAGTTACTGCAGGAGCTCGGAGTTGACTTGTTGCTAAGGTGAATTAGTTCACCAAGTAAATGATTTCTCCTCCATTTCCCTGCTTTCCTCCTTTCCTCCTGGCTCTTTCATCCTCCTTCCTTTCTCCTCCCTCCCTCCCTTTCTTTCTTTTAACTGCTTTTAATGAAATCCAAGGTCTTGGGATTGTTAGGCAAATACTCAACACTTGGCAATACCCCAAAATCTTGACTTTTGGAAGCTAATAATCTCCAAACAGAAATCTAACATTTCAGTTATGCAATAAATTCTAAAAACAACACTGCTGTGAAATTATCAAGACTTTTAAGTTTCTCTGAAGCAAACTAGACATTGGGTGGAACAGTTTCACAAGAAAGCATTGTGAAATACACTGTGACCTGTTACAGGTGGGAAGCAGGTACAGCTGACACTGTCTTCGGCTCCCAACCACTTTAAGGATGACCTCATCTTCTCTTTCTCTCTTTTTCTTTCTTTTTCCAAACAACATACTCTGATTAAGGTTTCCCCTTCCCATTCCTCCCAGTTCCTCCATGTGGCCCCTCCCATCTGGATCCATACACTTTCTGTCTTTCATTAGAAAGCAAACAGGCTCCTAAGGAATAATAATAAAATAAGATAAATAGAAAAGCCAACAAATCAATTATGACAAAATGGCAAAGCAAAGGGGAAAAAAGCCAAAGAGATACTTTTCAGCTCCATGAGAGTTCAGCTGAGAGCTGCCGTGATCATCTGTCTGTTCATCCCACTCCTGGGACATTTAAATATTTTTGTGGTACACTATACTTAATTTTGACTGCTGAATGTTTTGCTTATACTAGCATTTAGAATTGCCTATAATTGTACTTTTTTTTATATGTTGTAGCTATGAGAATGAGCCTTTACAGGCCTGTAAAAGGCTATCACAGAAGAAATTGTTTTGGAATTTAAATACTATGTATATTCTCACCTCTTCAGCCAATCACATTTAAAAAAAAAAGCAGACATCCAAAAACCTTGGATTTAAAGCTTTAGTTGGAACTATTTGCAAAAATAGAAATGTCTGGCTAAAGATCAAAGTTTGGAGGTGAAGTGTGTTTAGTCCAATTTAACACAGTAGAGTTAAGTGAAGGAAGTCAGGCTGTGATTGAAGCCAGAGATAAATATTTAGATACACATTTGCAGATGGTGAGCTACTGCATACATGCATTGATTGTATACCCATAGCAGATTATACAAAGCAGATTTATTAAATGTCTTTTGCCTACATTTTTATCCTGCAAACTCTCAGAGCATGATTCCTTTAAACCCTATTAAATCACTCAATTTTTAAATGTATGACTACATTTTGTTATCAATTCTATTTTTTGTCCCATGGTTTAAAAACAAGTCCTGTTCCAGTAACTATTGTCATGAGTAAAGTGTTCCTCTAGCATGCTGAAGCCTTGCATTCAAGTGTCCACTACAAAAGTAAAGGAGCAACTGCACACACCTGTCACTTTTCAGAAAAGAAGGCCCCGTTTGTTCTCAGCAAACCTGTCCGGGCCTGTCTGTAGCATTCTTCTCTCATTGGCATTTTGCTAATTACTGAATGATCCTCAGTTTTATTTATAAGATAGTAGTAATTGTACTTCAAAGGCTGTACAGCACAAAAGTTCACAGACACATGCACATGTATATCCATTTAAATGCACACCTCATTCAGAGCTTAGCATGTAGCTGTCCCTACACTAACATTAATGATCTTAGTGATGTTTATCTTATTATTTCTTGTATCTCATTTACTTTTTTCTGCCATCTATTCTTGGTGTCCTTCTCCAACATGATCATTCTAAGTCTCTTTCATTCTTTTACATTCTTTCCTTCTATTATATCCCATGTTGTTAAAATGGCCAAGGCTCAACAGCCTTGATCTCTCAACTCTACACTTGTAGCTTGAACTTCTTCACCAATTCTCCTTTCCATTTGCGTAAACAAACCATGCTGAATTCCATTAACTCTCCTCTGCAAAACTTTGGTCATCTCTTTATAAGTTCACTCTCTTGGGACTCAGGCTTGGGACCGTGTCCCTGTCTTGCTCTGAGTGGCTTTATCCATCTATCGAGCTGTACTCCATAGATTTGTAGCAAGAACTTTTTTTGCTAATGGGATAGTGGACAGTTATTTTGTGTAAAGAAAAGAAAAAGAACCAAACATATCTTGTGCAAAATGTTTGACGTGGAATAACTTGGGCTTTTTCCAGAGTCTGCCAGCCTCCCTCCAGCTCAAACACAGTTCTCCATGTCACATATCCTAGGACAACACAGTATTCACCCGGAAACCATTTATATCTTTCTGAAAACGGTTGTTATATCCTTTTGATATTATTGGATGAAACCTACAGTCCACCAAAATTGTTCTTATCTAAGGTCACACTTCAGTTGTTCTTAGGTGGTTAGAAATTTCATCAAGGAATAAAGTAAGATTGTCATAAAATTGTAGTATCCAAGAGAGGCTTCCTTACTAAAGTGGAAACTATACAACTAAAATTTCAAACCACAACTAAAACATGTATTTTGAACAACCGGATTCTCATAAAAATGGCTTGTCAGAAAGTATAGATAAAACCTTGTTCAGTGTTTGAAATATGTCATATAAATTCTCTCCATCTCAGTCTGATATAGTTGAGTTTGTGTGCAGGTCAGCTAGCACGGGTGACTTATTTGAATGCATAGCCCGTCATCAGATATTTTTTTTTTATGTTGGAAGTAGCAATGACAGGTGAGGTTTCAGGTTATGACTTGGTATCTAATAAAGACTCAATCTACAAGAGGACAAAATGCACCTTTATTACAGGTGTAAGCTGCACTTGCTTGTTCTCTGCAAACTGATATTTCCTTTTTCATTGTTCTGAAATGGAAGACATAGCTTGAAGCAAAAATCCAGCTGTTTGTAAAAAATATTTTTACTTAAAAGAATGAATATTGAGCTAATGGAATAAAGTCTTCTTAAATACATTTTGAGTAACCAATGTGTATTATTCTCACATTTCAAGACATGAACACATTTTCCATTATTGCTATGAAAGGATTAGCTGTTGTTTGTTAAACCTTGTTAAGATGATACGTAACAGGTTCTTTGATCACATCACTTAATTAAAATATTACTAAAATGGCAGGGCGTTGGTGGCGTATGCTTTTAATCCCAGCACTCGGGAGGCAGAGGCAGGTGGATCTCTGTGAGTTCGAGGCCAGCCTGGTCTCCAGAGTGAGTGCCAGGATAGGCTCCAAAGCTACACAGAGAAACCCTGTCTCGAAAAAAAAACAAAAAACTTTACTAAAATGATGAAATTATCAAAGCATGCATCTGTTTTATGGAGAGATATGCATATATGTGTATAAATTCATTTACCTCTTAGTATTTAATTCACAAAATTGCTTCATAATGATTTTGAGTACAATATGAAGATAACTACCATTGTATTCACAAATTTATTTTCAGATACTGTCATATATGAGTAGCTGTTTTATTCACACATTAACACCATATGTGCTTAGTCAGGTGTATAACTTAATAAAGTACTGTTCAAGCTTTATTTTTATTTCTTAGTCTTAGACTAAGATGAAGAAACATGCTATTTTCATTTTCTCTTTACCATAGACTTACTTCTTGCCTTGTAAGAACTGTGAACATTGTAAAAACATACCCACATTTATATTTCACATTCTTTTAGAATACCACAGTGTTCATCATTCTAATTGCACAGACCCATTCAATCAAAAAATCTTCATTGTGTTTCTGCTTTCTATTTTCCATATTTGGCACACTGAACTTAAGAGTTCAATATCCCACCTCCACTCCCCAAAAAAGACTGAATTCTTTGACTTTGGAGGGTTCCTAAGAAGTTGATGATATTAGGGAAGCTTAAGTTGGCCCTTTATAAGGTGACATATGGTTGGATAACAGTGACATTTTCATTCCAACAACTGTGTGATGAGTGTTCCTCTTGTACTTTAAAAATCACTTTAAAAACATTCAGGTTTTCCTTGGACAAATGTGTTGGTATTAAGTTAATGAAACCTGCTGACTGAAGATCTTTTTTGGCACTAATGTTTTAGGGTTCTCCCATCATGCCTTTCTAGAAGGGGATACGCAATCCCAAGAGCAACTGATCAAGCAGTCATTAGGGGAAAGCATCCCACTCGCTCACGGTCGAGCGAGCACTCTAGTGTCAGAACCCTGTGTTCTATGCACCACCTTACCCCCGGAGGCTCGGCGCCACCTTCTCCGCTTCTGACAAGGTTGCTATTCAGTGTCCAGCCCAGCATTCGTGTCCTGCTGCCGGGTGTTGGTGTGGTGTTGTTCCTTCCTGAGCACTCGAAGCTTTCACTCATTATAACACCATAGTTTTTAATCTTTCCTTTGTGGCACTTAAATCCTCCCCCACATCCTCTTCCACTTGCATCTCTTCACTGTGCTGGCAGAATCCTCTAGTTCCTGCCAGTTAACCTGCCATCGAAAACCAAATCTGGCTGTGTTCTGTCCTTTCATCTGTTTGTGGCATATCATACATACTTTATTATGTGAAATGCTTTATGATGAGTTTACCCAGAATTGAATATGTATTTGTTTATTAAAGTTCAAGAGAATTCTAAAAGGTAACCTTTTATATCTGTTCATAAAACCATATAGTGTGTAAAGTTTCTTTAGTTACAAAGTGTTTGAATGCCAGCAGATGGAGGTCAGCTTTATCTGGGCAGGAATGAAGTATCTGCATGCCTCTCATATTCTCATTTCCAATTTTAATCCTCATGTCAGAATACCCTCTAGAATATGTCCAAGGTTATTGGAAATCCTTTTTAAGGTTTATTGTTTATTTCTATTTTTAAAACTGCACAACTTATTGGTAACTAATGTCAGGTTGTGCACCAAGAACTTATTATTATCAATGACTCTAAAGTGTGTAGGAGGGTAGCTGTAGCTGTTTGGCAATATGGCTTCATAATTATATATAATATACATAATATTTTACAATCTAAGGCTGTGGTCAATTCTCTCCTGATACTAACAAAAATGACTGTCTTTAAGAAGGCACAGCCTCAGAGAAAGTGAGTCACATTCTGCTTAATTCAGGAATCACTATGCAGAATTATACATGCTTCCTTCAGCCTCTTATTATAGTAGTCCTTTTACATTTGTCATCTAAGGTGTTTGATTTTGCTTCTAATAACCCAGTTAGAGGTTTTATGCCTGTTAGTAGTGACTGGAAATAGGCAAAAATGTTTTGCTGGACTGTATTGGAATTTCACCCGCCCTTTGCTGTTTGCCTACAGAACGCACCGACAAGGAAGCCCAACCCAGTCTCCTCCAACAGACACATCCTTCAGCAGTCGCCGGGGAAGACAGCTTCCACAGGTGCCAGTTCGAAGCGGCAGTATAGAACAAGGTATCCAAAAATGAGAGATCTTTGTCCAAACACCTGGAGTTGAGAAACTTCTCCTTTTAACACTCCCTTAAATTAAATGGCATTACTTTGATCATACTCAACTCTCTGAATCCTAAGAATTTAAGTTTCTTGTAATTTTATCTTCAGCACCTAGTTTTAGTGGTCTATGCATAGCAATGAGCATTTCTTGAGTAGAGTGAATGACATAATTTAGATGATTGTTCAACAGAGTGGGTGGAGTCCTGAATAGTTTTGCAAAGCCATAAAATAGGTGGCACACATTTTCAAAACCTCAGTACTATCTGTTATTTTATCTACAGAAAAAAGGCCTTATGTTATTTTTAAAAGAAAATATTTAATAGTTAAGTATGATCATTGAGTGACGTGTTAGGGTTCTTCATTTTTAGCTTCATAGGCAATATCTTGCATTTTAAATACTTTGATGGTGAAAAATTACTGAGAACCTATATTTGTCATTTTCCTATGAGCAAAATTGTCTGAGTTTCTTACATTTAGTGTACATGGGTTGTTTCCTAAGAGAATAACCATGTGTATATGTGTTTGTGGAGAGGGAGGAGATGCGTGCTCTGATAGTAGAAACCAAGGTTAAAGTGCATGAGTGATACATTTGAAATGCTGGACTAAAATACTATTTTTCCTGACCTGTTTCTTAGTAAGTCAATGACATCAGTGTTTTCTGTTGCATTTATTATCAATGCATAAAAGAATTACTGAATTTTTCTCTAGTTCAGGGCTGTGGGTCAAGAACAATGAACATAGTAAGACATCCAATGCCAATCTGTGTCCCTATGAAATACCCTGATTACTTTCCTGGGTACTCTCCAACACTGTTGATTGTTGCTGCTGTGAAATTAGCATTTCCCCACAGATTGCATTGCTTCAGAATCAAAGTGGCCTGTGTAACCGTGCAAAACAATACTTGATAATAGGAACATTAGTGTGAATAAGTGTTGATGACTTCCTAATCAATACTGCAAAACATACCATAAATCTACATCAACAGGTGGATTTGTGGTTTTCAAAATCATGTTTCTTGTTGGTACAGCATGCTTTAATGGCCAAGGATGAGGTAAATGTATACATATAGTCAATTATCAAAATGCAGTCTTGGTGAAAATTGTTCCTAAAATACTAGTTATCAATTGTAGAATCAACATTTCTCGTATGCCTTTTCTCTGGAATGTTTTGAGATGATTGAGAAAAACTAATGCTATTTGAACTATACTAGCAATACATCTGTCAAAAGTTTAATTTTTTAGCAAACTTACTTATTCATGAACTCTTGTTGCACAACTGAATGAAGTATAAATTTGGATGCTTCACTAGAAATCCAGTGTTGCTGGTCACACTGAAACTCAGCAAGTCATGTGTTCCTAAAATTCTTTGCATTTCCTCCAGTTGCAAGTAAAACACTCCATGTCATATGAGGTTTCACAGTGGGGTTATAGCAATATTTCTGCAAAAATCAGTTGAACCATCTGTTTATCTTTTCAATTTCTGTTTTATTGTTAATATCTACTGTTTATGATATTCATATTTACAGTTGCCTTTCAGAGAAAACAACCATGTGTAAGGACTGGATTGAGGTGGGACGAAGGGGATGAGTGGGAATGACAATGTCGGAGTTATTTTGGTATTAATTATGACAAATACTTCAGTAAACACAGTTGGTCATTGAAGGTTCCTGAAACATTCTAATATAGACAGAGCTTGTAGAATGGAAGAGTCATCATGCACTATTTAATCTAAGCATTCAAAGGCGTACCTCATGATATTGATACATGCTTTGGGGCTTGTGGTCAATGATAGTAGTATCCTCTGTCATCTTCTTATGGGTGTTTTCATTCTGAACAGTTCACGTGACATGTTTATCCTTAATTATTTTCTAAAGTGTTTCAATCTATGGGCTAGAAATTACTTGGTACATTTTACTGTTCTTAAGGTGATATGAGTATGTCATTCATTTTCTTTTTGATGGGTTTGTTAGACGATACTGCTGTTTCATGTGGGAATTAATATCAACTGAAGTTTACTTTTGACTGCTTACGCTGTTATTCACTTGACTTCCATTTTTTCCTGTTTACTAAAGGGCTGACTTACTGTTTATAATATAATTCAGTTAATAAACAGTGTTTGGTAAGGACCAAGTATTTTCAGTGGCTTAGTTTCCTAAACAGTGATGCAGTTTCTTGATACAATCATAAATTAGTTTTATTAATACATTTTTGTATATGATTACCTATATTATTGTTTTAGGCTGTATATAAAAATAATTTGGTTTGATGGGTATATTTTTAAAATTTTTATCAATGATATTTATCGTATGTACTATACTATGAACAGATTTTCCAATATTAAAGACTATTATTTTAAAAGATATTGAGTATTTGAAAATTATTTTAAAATTTCCTTTAAGAAATTGGAATATCAGCCCAATACATGAAATATGGTTATGTAAAAAATTGTGTCAGGAAAAACAAATGATTGCAGTACATATTTTGAAACAAAAGCAGTTTAAAATATAATGTATACTTTTCTCTTAGTATGGAAAAATTGAAAGTAGAGAGTTCCTTGAAATTTTTTGATTACATGTATTGAATACAAGGTAGTATCATTTTACATAGAGTTAAGATGAAGGTAGCTGTGAGTGAATGTATAAAAATGGGTGTTTTCTGAACAGGTCAGGTAGCTATGCTTCATTGATGTCTCTTAAAGAATCATGAAAAGACCATTCACAAACAAAAAGTTAAGGGCAATCCATTGGTTCAATGTTGACTTTGCATGTAGTACTTAAAATATGAGATCATACTGACACCTTCCTTCAGATGTGACTAGATTAGTTATTTTTCACTGAAGAATATAACAGCAAAGAGGGAGAAATATCTAATACATGCAACCTGTAAAAAATGAGTGATCTTATCTTGAGATATTTACTACACATTTGAAGAAAAAGGAAAGACTACTTAAATTGGGCTATATCTTGTTCGCACAGAAAATACTACAGAAGTTTTTCCATGCTGTAGGTTATGTGCTTTCTAGTCAATAGAAAAAAATGACATTAATCACATGGAAATTCAAATCATATGAAATGACACTTTTACTATTAAAGTTTCTATGTAAATAAAGTATGTTTTCATCTGAAGTGTAAGACAGCGGTGGATTTAAATTACAATGTTTTAGTAAAATGTTGCCAAACTATGCAGTTCTTAAGACTCAAGGAAAAAGTATTGTAGCATATGCAGTGGGAATATCAAACAAGTTTTTTTTCCTGATATTTTTGTTTTGTTTAAATCTTTGAATTACTGTATTCATTTTTAAATTAATTTCAGTACCATATGTGAAACTTTCTCATGTTTATCATTGCAGTTTATCACGTCACCTTATGTGTTACGCATTTTTAGTATTCATGCCATTTTGTTGATTCACATTTCCATGTCTAACTATAAATTTGCTGATTTCTTTCTTTTGTTTCCATCATTATGTGCATTTAATTCATTGAAGAACAAGAAAAATATAACTCTTCTACTAAAGGTAAATATTAATGTAATTTTTAACCATTCATACTGTTCCTTTTATAATATGTAAGAGTTATGCAAATATTGGAATAAATATCAAAATTAATTAATAGGTAGTTATTTCTCTGAAGTGATTGTACCACTTATTAATTATTTCATATTACCCAAAGTTAGATCAAGGAAGAAAACATCTTAAAATTAAGTAGTATTGATGCAAAATTCATTTGTCTACATTGCTAACTAACTTTTGTAAGCTAATAATGTATATTTTACATGGTAATATTTTCTTTTGTTATAGGAATTCATGGCATAGTCTTTATTTCTTCCTGAGTTTCCTTCTGTTTCTATTTTCCTGCTCTTATAGATATGAGATTTGATTCTGATTTCCCATTATCCTCTCTGGCAAACATCTACTATGCAGATAGAAAGTCCCTATGTTTTATTGAACTTTATGAACTTTAAGAACTTCACTACTGTCAGGCATGTTTAGAGAAGCTGCCTATCTCAGTGCTCTGGACTTCAAGCTTGTTTTAATATTAATCCCCTCTATCTGAGAGATAGATACAGGAAGTAGAATTAATGCAGCCCATTCTCCTGAGAAGGCTCCAGCCTCTTCTTTCACGTTTTAGTAAAAAAATATTTTTGATCTTTTCACTTAAACTTCAAGTAAGTTTCTGGCTTCTACCCTCAACTTTTATACTGCCCACATCAATTCTTTAATTCTGAAAATGAATTAAACCTGGCCTGGTGACTAAATTCTTGAATATGAGTTTATAAATCAGTATAGTAGTGTTTTAATAGTACTTTAATTGTATAATGTTTATAGGTATATCCATTGGATATTTGAAAGCAGTTTGTATTGATTTGTTTATTTTAGTAACTCTCAGAGCTTGTGAAGATCTCTGTCCTTGAGGTTGGAAAGAAATCTCAATGGTCAAGAATGCTTTTTGATCTTCAAAGGGCCTGAGTTCAGTTCCTAGCACTCCCATCAAGGAGCTAAAAACGACCTGTAAGTCTAGTTTCAGGGATCCAGTTCTCCCTTCTGAACTCTGTGTGTACTTGCACACAAGTGGTACACGTACACACGCACAGGCGCACACCCCCAATTAAAAATAAAAGATCCCTGCCCTTTACTACTTATCAAAATTAGAGAACAAAAGGGTGTTTTCTTATTCACTTTCTTTCACTACATTTTGAAAATCTTTAATAAACTCAAATACCAAGTGCATTTTTCATAACTCGTAATACACCAAGGATATGTTGCAAATCTTAGTATGGGAGATAATATTCAATTCTGTCTAATCTGAAATTATACTTAATAGAATTATATGTCAGACATGTAAGGTACACATCTGAGCACATACTATTTGACATACTAGGAAAAAATCGTAACTAAAGCAAAAGGCTTGTCAACGAAATGAATAAGCTGTTATCTTAGGTTTCAATAAGCTCATGACCATCTTG